AATGCTAAATCTACGAGTGTGCCGACAAGTCCGCTGCTTCATTGAGTAGTTGATATGTAAGCAAACATAATGAAAAATACAAAAAATTTCATCGGAAATTGTACCGAACTTTGAAGACTTGTTTGGCGAACAAATGAAATTCCATTTCCTGTATTTTTTTTTCTTTCATCTGGAAGGCGGAATATTTTCCTTGTCAACATCGTGGTTTTTTTTCAATCGATTTTAAATTATTTATGTTGTTTTTTCCTCCTACGTGTGGTGGGTAGAGAATGCACTAGTGCATTACTATTTATTTTACCTGAAGAATGATCTAAGTTAATTTTCTTAAGACGATAATCTAATAATACAAATAAAAACATAGTTATTTCTTTCTCAACAACAAAAATAAATCAATTACAGCATGAAAAGTATATAATGAAAATACCACAACAAAATAAAAGATAGTTTTTAAACAAGGAGGTATCCAGATTCTTTCTAGAATAGTGAACGTAATCTCACGTTTATTTAGTAAATTTTGAAACAATTGCAAATTGTGTCTCACCCAAAAAGAAAAAAAAAAGAAGAAACAAATGATGATTGATGAGAAATTATTCTCTATTTTCTGTGCTAAAAAAGTAAGAGATTTTTTTTTAGCGATTCAAATGAACAAAATAAAAAAAATACGTCGGATTTCATATCGAAAAATAAACAAACAAACAAAAAACAACAAAAAAAAATGGAAATTATTTATTAAAATGGAATCGTAAATATATTTACTTTGATTCTATTCAATATATCGTATGTGTACGTTGTCCACGAAAAAGGATTTTTTTGAATGTTTTTATTATTATAATTACAAATCGTTAGATTAAAATGAACAAAAAACAAACACACACACACACAAACACATTTTTTTGCGAAATAAAATTAATATAAAAATCAAACTTAAAAACAACACAATCTCTATTTATTTTTTAATTCTTGGAATGACTTATATTTATTGCTTAATTTCTGTAGCTATTTTGATCGCTTCGAATGTGAAACGGATGAAATTTTATGGAATCGCCGTGGTATTTGCAATCCACAATTGAATCACATCATAGTTATCATCGTGACTTTGACACGGCTTAACGGCGGTAAATATATTCGTTTTATTTACTAGAGCAAATGCAAACACTGCACCAATGCATGATCCAAATTGAATGAACGCACCCGCCCATTTGAGTGCGTTATGACCGTTGCGTCGAAACAGTTGCAAAACTTCCAATTTTATTAGGCTGGTTAGTGCTGTAAACATTGTCCAGACGATGATCTGAATAATTAAACGGAAATCGATTGGAAAATCAAACAAACCTTGTGAAACTTCAATCCAAAATGTTTAATTATGTAATTGAAATTTTCAATGTTGACAATGTCATTCAACATTGTTGAGAATACGTACAATCAAATAGCTTCCGATAGCCAGTGTGTGGAAAGGTGGTGTTGGACTTTCAACAGCTGTTATCACAATATAAACCGAAAATATTGCTGTTATTATGAACATAACGGTGATGCGATGTACGGCTGGACGGGAAGTATAGAGACTGAACAAACATGCCAATGGATTTGCGATTGATGAGAATGTGGTCGAAAGATGATATGCCGAAGAACCGTATGGCATACATGAATAGGATTGCAGTCCAGGTAAGATACCGTTGGTTAAAGATGAAATCACACCAAGAACAATCATCAAGTAGTAAAAATTGGATGAAGATAAAGTAGATTCACTGGTCGATATTGCTTGATAGCCACTTGCTTGTCCATTGCCAGTGCCACTGTCATGTGTATCTTTTTTCTCCACGGCTGATGCATACTCTTTGTTACACGTGTTCATTGTGTTCAAGAGAACGAATGCAAGTGAACTCATGACCAACAGAGCAAATATACACAGAAAGTAAATCTTTGGTTCAAATAATGGTTCAGAGTACTGTACAGTTGTCTCATTCGTTATGTTGTTTTTTACACATACTGGCATACCAACACCTTGCATCAATGACAACGTACTCGTTAACAAACCATTTAATCCCTGTCCAAACATGTATGTAACTAGATAAATTCCGCGGAATCGTCCCATGAACGGCATAAATAGCACCGAACTAACGCACCCAACAATGGCAAACATTCCAGTAAAAATGAGCAACGGTATGCTTCGTTCTTCACCGCCAATATTTATGGTAGTCCGATAGAAGAATGCCATTAAAATTGCAGCCAAACAACCGATGCCCAGCGTCAAGTAGATCAAATTCGCATCGTCAAACTTTACACTAGACCATTTTTCGTAGATTATGTAAACTAGAGACGCGATATTGCCACTTTGCGTTAGAATTACTATATACGACGGCAAGTTCCATCCTTCGGGCGCCGTTTGAACAATTTGCGGCATCTGTAGTAATGTGCCTGTTATCCCGGCCCATGCGCTCACACCAAACGAAATGGCTAGGAAATCCACGAAATAATTCCGTTTGCGATTTGTATCCATTTGTGTTGAAACACGATTTTTATGTAAAAATTACAAACGAGGTTTACGACCGCACAGCGTGATATGACTTACACTTAATGTGAACGATAGATGCAACGTTCGCATCAGATCACTCTTATGATCATCATATGACAATCTTGACACATGAGATAAGGTAGATAAGAAGCTGTCAAGTGATTTCAGAAGAATCTGTGTTGCGTCTAAAATTTAAGTGTAAAATATGGCTAGACTGATAAAATGCCCACTCATTTTGCATCAATAGATTTCTTTTTATTGAATAAGTTTGTATACAATTTTTACCGTGGTATTAAAATTGTTTCTCACTCAAACAAACCAACAAAATGATTCCAATTTTCGCAAGAGACTCCCTTAATTTTCCTAAACTGTTTCTGTTTTTTTTTTTTATTCGGATGTTTACACAGTTGTATCGTTTCCATTGAGCTTAAGTGAGAAACTTTTTCGATTATTTTTGGCTGGTAAAAATTTTCTCGGTGGATCCCATCGCAAGCATGTCGGATCAACGGTTAGTCTTGGTTGACGGAATTGTGGCAATAGCAAATGTTCGTTGACCGTTTTTTGTGACATACACACGACATGTTGTCCCTTCCAGTATTTCACCATTTTCATACTTTGCAACGTTGTGATGATATCTTCCTGAGTGATGCCACTGATTTCGCTGAGCTCACGTATTGATGGCGATGCTGTTCGACTGTCCTTCATTATGTCCAGCAATGTGTATGCCCAGTAGCTGCGATAGCTCAATCGTCCCAGATCGGATAGTGGCTTTTCGGGGCTGCCCAATACACCTTCACGCTTTGATAGCTCATAACTGAATCCAATTAGGAATTTACCGTAACCTTTTCGCTGATACGGTGGTAGAATTAAAATGCAGGCAACATTATTTCCATCGGGCGATTCCTTCTCTTTGGAAAAATACCCAACGATATGGTAGCCATTGCGGTCAATTTCACACAAAACATAAAAATAAAATGGTTCAACGTCAAAGTATAACGTTTTATGGTCCAAAAAAAGTTTTGCCATTAGGCAAAGTGTCTGACAGTAGATGGTTTGATCGCGACCATCAATTTCAAATACTGATATTACTCCCTTTCGATAGATCTCGTTGCCAGGCGGCGATCGAACCATACACTCCCTCTGAAAGTTGTTGAAATCGACAAAGAAAGAAAAACCAAATATTTTCAATGAATTTTTTTCAGAGAAATTTTAAAGTGAAATTGACGTGGGATGCATCGTCAGATGAAATACTTACGCAGTGACGTCGGTATGTGCTTTCATATTTCATATATTTCAGACAATATTCGCACACATACAATGTTTTAACTTTTCCATATTCGTCGGGGTACGGTGAAAAATACCATGTGTCAATTTCGAATTTTCCTATGCGCAATGTATCGATGAATTTAACTTTGGTAATGCTTTCGTGCTCTTTTTCCAGTGCAGCCGTCGTTGGGTCCATTTCGGAATATGGCTTTTGAACGTGATTGATTTCATCGTGACGCCTTTTTTGGTTTCGTGTGATTTTTCGCTCGGAACTGTCGACCACCGTCGATGAATCATTCAAAATTGACGTATTATTCAATGATTTGAGCACGTTAGTTTTTATCGGATCGATTATTGCCGGTGTTGCGTTGTTCAAACCTACAAATATGGAAGCATTTGTTGTAATTTTCATCGAATTCAGTGTTTAAGCCAGAGATTACTATGAGATATTTTTATTCATATGGGATAGAAATATCGCATGAAAATATCAGATATTTTTCATGCGTTGCGTTGTTGTAACGCTTCTGCAGTACAAAATACATATTCCTCTTTGGGATCCAAGTCGAATTTGCATGAATATCTGATATTTTCATGCGATATTTCTATCCCATATGAATAAAAATATCCCATAGTGATCTCTGGTTTAAGCAATAGAAATTGCCTTCAGAAAGAAAATCAAGCACTTACTTTTGCTATCACCCGATGTGTTGTCATCGTCATCGATTGTGTTTGTCGACAAAATTTGATCCACTGTAACCCACTGATCCAAGCGTCGATTTAAACCAGAGTAATGAACATAGTATTCGTGTATTTTGTCTTCGGTTTCGCGTGTTTGTATGATGGTTGCTTCGTGGAGTGTACCATCCGGTCGACGTACGGTATACGTTTGGCCAATTTGGATATCACCCTCTGTTGCTCCAGCAATAATCTGAACATTTGTACTTTCTGTAGCGGTCATTTTACTTAAATCTTAATAAATTTCACATTAAAATCCGGTTCACAAATCCAAAAACCAATTGAAAAAAATACAATTTAAACTTTTTCGCAATTCCAGCTTTGTTTTGCACAATAATAATAGTCAGATATCGCGTGTTGTTGAAATTTACTTTTCGTATGGCAAAAACAATGTATGTGTGTGTCTATTACACCGAATACCGAATTGTTTTTGACGAATGACGCTTTTTTATGAATCGCATTTGCTGAACTGTCGCGTTTGCCCAGTATATGGCTGTCGTTCATGATGTGCACAGCTTTCAATAATCGACACTATTGACATCAGCGCCATTTCATTTGCGATGTGTATTTTGGGCTAGAACGCACCCCAAATTCATCGAATTTATGTCAAATACACTAAATTGCATTAAATTATCTGCGATTAATATTACAGATAGATACCGGAAAATCACACAAATGATTTGTTCAACATATGTGTCAGTCGAATAACAAAAATCCAATGACTTTATGACTTTATTTGATCTAATGCAGAATGCGATTAACGAATATACGAATTCAGATTCTGATTAAAGTCATTAGGCTTTGTTGTTTATCCCATTTCACATGCGTTGTATATTTTGGGCTAGAACGTACTCCAAATCACATACGAATCTAATTTTCATTATATGTATTCTCGTTGCAAAATTTTCGTGCCTGAAAATTCCAAATTCATCTTTCGTATTAGAATTATACATTTTTATAACAAGGAATTAATCATCAATATTTCCACGTGTCAATTATTATTATTGTGAATAAAAAATGCATTTATTTTTCCAAAGTAATTCATATGTGGATTTTATTATTTGTTCCAAGAACGCTATTATCTTGTAAAATTGAAAAATTCAAGAGTACTATTCAGTCCAAAATCAACATATATAAAGATAACCCATTTAAGTCATTCCATAAACATTGTTTACAAATCGTCTTTTGTATATATATATATATATATGTATAAAACAATGTTTATTCACTAACATTGTCTTCAACTATGATATTTTTACATCACATACAATTGACTCGAAAACCAAAGAAACAAAAACACAAAAAAAATACTACGGTTTACGATGCCATTAACATTTGCTGGCTTCAACGAAAATTTTCGTGTAATTAACTAAGACAAAACTAATGGTTGCACCGACGGCTGAGCTAATTTGATTCACTGTTCCGACCCAAACTAATGATCGCCCCTCTTGGTAACGAAATATCGAGACTATGGAAAGTTTCATGTAATTTATTATACAGGTAAATATGGTCCATGAGCTAACCTGAAACACAACAGAGAATCAACATGAATACCAATATCGATATGGTTTTTGTGTGCGAATGCAATACTCACTATGAGAACATATCCCAACATTGAATCCTTAAGTGGTGGATTTGGGCTTTGTAATGCAATATAAAATAGATAAATGGCTAAAATAGATCCGATAAAGCTGAGGAAGCGAATAACTCGAATTGAGGTGTGTGACAAGAACATGGCTATGAAACCGGCACATGGATTGGCAATGGCAGCCAGTGTCACAGACAAATGATAAACTTGATTGCCATACGGTAGACAGGAATACGACATCAAACCCGGAAAGATTCCGTTGCCCAATCCACTGAGGCCAACAACGGCTGCCATTAAAAAGATATAGTTGAATGTCGATAAATTAAGTACATCAGCAGGTATATTTTGTTTGGTTTCATCACTGTCTTCCTTGTGATCATAATGATACTCGTTGCCCATTCCAATTGTTCCAGCTGCATACTCCTTCTTACAAGTGCTCAGCTTATTTAAGAGTATAAATGCAACCGTGCTCAACACCAGAATGCCAAATACAAATTCGAAATAGAGCCTTATACCAAATAACGGTGGCGGATACTTTTCAATAAATCCACCATCGGTCGTGTTGCTCGGCACACATTCAGGCGGTCCGCCAACTCCTTGGATCAATGCCAATACACTCGATACGAATCCATTCAAGCCCATACCAAACATGTATGACACGAGATAGCATTCTCGAAACCGTCCCATATACGGCATAAATAGCACCGAACTTAAGCACCCAACCAATGCAAACATCAGCGTAAATAGCAGCAAGAATACACTGTATGGATGACCGGAGATTTCGATGGTATGTTGATAGAAAAATGCCATACAGATTGCGGCTACACAGCCTATTGTCAATGTAAAATAAATTAAAAACCCGTCATCGATTTTCTTTGGTGAATACTTCTGATAAACAACGTAGGCAAATGAGCCAATATTGGCAATTTGTACTGCAATTGCTATATACGATGGCAACGACCATCCTTCTGGGGCACTTGACACAAGCAACGGCAACTGTAGATATGTGGATGTTACACCAATCCATGAGCTCACTCCAAACAGTATTGCCAAAGCGTCCACAAAAATATTTCTTTTCCTCACTGGCTTGATCACCGCCTCCGTTGATTCGTGTGCCATTTTGGTAATTGATGCACAATACTTTTGCGTGTGACCGAGTAGCGTTATTCTACAAATGAAAGAAAAGTAGAAATAAGGTATAAATTATTTGCGGTTGTGATTTTTCTAGGAGTCACTTTACATTTTGCTTTAAGATAATAACATTTCAAGTAATCCAATTCTCAATGACAGCGCGCTAGATATTCGATTCGGTTTTAGACACTGTTGCTGTCTTGATTGCTTTTCGAATGAAATCACTTATCAATTTTGGATGTCTTATCAGACGGGTTGGTTTTTATGGACTATACAACTAAATAGTTAGGCAAAGCCACAAAATCAATTGCGTCACGATTACGAGACAGATTATTTATACATGTGCTATATCTGGTTTAATGTGAGTTAAGATCGTGCACCGAAAATGAGAATCGGAATGCAGTTTTAGCATAAATTTCGGCGTCATCGCATTTCTCTTTTACCTGTTACTATCGTTCGAATCCATTCTTGGTGTCCAATAAATTTTTGGTTGATACAACGACCAAATGATAAGGAATACAGTCAACGATGTTTTGATGTGTTACAGTTGTGTTTATAGTGTTATTGTCATGGTTGTGTGAATCTTCGTCCGATTGTTATCTAACGTGCGAACTCTAAACGAGAGCAAAAACAACGAAATGAAAATGTTTTTGGTCGATTAGAATTATAATCACAGCTGAATATGTTCAGAACACATGGTTGAATGTTTCAAGGTCCGAAGCAATTGATTTCGTCGTAATTAATGTGTCTTATTCAAAACTTGAGGAGAAACCATACAAAAAAAATTATTTGTTTTGCTTTTGCTTTTGGAACAGTAAAATTTCAAGTGTTTTTCTTTGCTTTGTTTTCCCAACGTACAGAACAGTTGAATTCTGTGTAGAATTCCGGAAAGGAACACGTGTTATACAAACAAGAGATAAATGACAAATATTTACACTTTTCCTACATCCAAAGTAAATCTCACACGAAGCGCCAACCGAATGAACGTTACACCGAAAATAAGTGAAATATAAAGGCCGTACATTTGTTGACATAAGTAATTTAGTTCATTATTACGAAATACCAGTGGGTTTTTCAAAGTTTCGTGTGTGCTGAGTTGGCAGATTCACGCGAACATTTTTTGTTTCCATTTACGAATTGCAAAAACAAGAAAAAAAATCTAATCGAATCAAAGTCTCAAGCGATTGCACTTCAAATGTGATTCATTTCTTTTTATGGTTGTCAAAAATCCAACCAAATAATATCACTCACCATTCCAATTTGAATCTGTGATATTCTGCAAATTGTTGCGCTGAACAGCAACGAATTGGTTTTTATTAAATTTAATTATTTACTGTCATCTTTTAATTTATCAATTTCATCATTACAATATATGCTTAGGATAGTTACGATTGATAGCCTTCGATATTTCGTTTGAAAATCAGCTGTCAAAATATATCGATACATAGAGAGACAGAGAGACAGAGAGACTTCATGACTATCGCTGAACATTGAACATTGAACGTGGAAAATAGACAGCTGTAGATGGCTATGCCAACTTCACTCATTCAACTGATTTATATGACAAACTGAATTAAATTCACCGTGAAAGATAACGCAATTCGATCATATTCAATTGAAGATAATAATGACCGATGTCAATGTTCATAATTAAACATGGACAATCACCATGTGACTGACATACACTTGTTCACTGTGAAGAGCTGCCTTCTAAGCATCGAATGCGATAATTTATACCACGTTTGGTCATTTTTTAACAATAAAACTCATAAATTAACATTTTCTTCTGAAATCTTGGTCAGTAAATATTTTTCGCATACTAATTTTTCAAAGTTCAACATTGTACGTCGCTATCAATCAATCGAATTACCAAATTGGAGTGAAATATTTTGAAAAATGTTGTAATTGGTCGATTTTTCGGGCAAAGTTTTCGGGCTAAAATTTGATTGCTGAAACTCCCCGAAGCCCGATTAACAAATGTACGCAAACATATAGACACACAAATACACAGTAGCCGAGCGACAATTGTAATCGAAACAATACGTCATTACCATAAATTTTGAAACAACGAAATGAGACGAAAAAAATGACTGTCATACATATATTATTATAAATAACAAAAAGGGTAAAACCGTGCACAAGACATTTGTGTGAATAAATTCGGACAGATTTGTTGTTTTTTATTTCTATTTCTTCTGTTGTTTGATTGTGTCGTAGACTGAGAATTTGCTGCAATTGCATGAAAATTTCATTTGAAAATCACTGTTCTGTCATCAGCGAATCGGCCGATTTCGCTCACCGTGCTTCGATTTGTTATTTACGAACAATCTTTCTGCTTGTAACAGTGTGTGATAATGTATTAATGTTTATGTGCACCTACAATTACAATTATCGGAACTGAAACGAACGAACCAAATAAAAATTAGATAAACAAAATAATGTGACATCTGTTGTTGTTGCTGCTGCTGCTGCTGCTACATACACTTTTATTTTGAGACACGTATGATATTCAAACAGAGCACCGAGTCACATATTAACGATTAATCATAGCGAGTACAGTTTTTACACGCAGTTAAAAGCAACAATTTCGGTTTGTTAATTTGTTTTTTCCCGTCATTTTTTTGATTTCGTTTTTTTTCTTCTCTTGAATCAATCGGAATCGACAAGCAGCCGATAACATTGTACTAATTAAAAAACCGTGCTTTGAAAAGGAGGTGAAAAAAAACAAAAAAAAGTCACGCAAACCAGAAAAAAAAGAAAAATTAATCGGTGTTTATATTTCAAACCAATTTAATGTGAGCCGGCCATATTTTTTCGCGAACCGAAATTAAAAGTCAAATCTAATTTTCGGAAACGACAACGACAACAACAACAAAGCGACTCAAATTATCGTCAACAAGTCAAAAATGCGAGCAAAGATAATTTTTGTGGTGCTTGCGTGTACGTTGTGCATCGCATCGGCCGAACTACAAGGACCACCAAGTGACAGTGGAGATCTAAAAAATAGTTTTAAGGATAGAAAATCGAATTTGATAGATGATGAAGACGGTAACAGTGATAGTAATCTTAACAAAAATGGTGAACACGATGACGACAAGACGTCAATCGATGCAAGCGATGAGGAAAATACGATCGCATCATTGTTGGCGGAAGAATTTTCGTATCAGGGATCGGCGATAAAAATTATCAAAGCGCCGGACTTTACGCAAGAAAAGGAAGCGCGAAAAGTGACCGAAATGCTATCGACTCTGGTCAATAGCCATGCGAATTTGATCAAAAAGCTCGAAGATGAAATCGAAGAAATGGACGGTTCGATTGCTTCGCTGGGCGAACAACCGGAAGAGGTGCAAACACAGGAAGAAATCGAATTGGAAATGTTGTACGAATCAGCGATGAAAATTCTCAATCGAACGCGCTCCGATAAGGCGGAGGGCATTGCATTGCTAAAGCAGGCAGCGGACAAAGGTCATCCGAAAGCACAAGCAAAAATAGCATGGGCACAACTCATGGGCAGTCACGTTGAAATGGATTTTGCTGCAGCCAGAGAAACATTCCTGAAATTAGCTGACACTGGCTTACCGGATGCCCATATGGTACGTATGGAATATTTTATACTACGTATTTTTTTCTCAAACGCGAACAACAATTGATAATAAGAGTATGTATCGATGACTAATGTGTTTTTGCGTTCGCTTGCAGGGTTTGGGTTTCATGTATGCAGCAGGAATCGGTTTTAATGTGAGTCAGGCAAAAGCGTTGCTACACTATACGATAGCTGCGTTGGGCGATAACACATGGGCACAAATGGCTTTAGGTTATCGGTATTGGTCCGGTATATCGTTAGCCAATAGCTGTGAAAAAGCATTGGAATTCTATCGCAAGGTTGCAACCAAAGTAGCATCACAAATTACATTCTCGGGCGGAGCGGCAGTGCATCGGGTGCGTTTGTTAGACGAGGTTGAAACATCCGGATTGAGTTCGGCCATTTTCGACAATGATCTGCTCGAATACTATCAGCTGTTGGCGGGCAAGGGAGATGTTCAAGCTCAAGTTGGCTTGGGCCAGTTGCATTATCAAGGCGGACGAGGTATTGCGTTGGATCATCAAAAAGCATTACAATATTTTACGCAGGCAGCCAATGCTGGAAACGCGGTTGCCATGGCGTTTTTGGGTAAAATTTACTTGGAGGGAAGCGAGAATATTAAGGCTGACAATGAAACCGCTTTGAAGTACTTCAAAAAAGCAGCCGATCTCGGCAATCCCGTTGGACAAAGCGGTTTGGGCATCATGTACTTGCAAGGCAAAGGCGTGCCAAAGGACACGGCCAAAGCATTGAGCTACTTTACCAAAGCAGCCGATCAGGGATGGGTTGATGGCCAACTTCAACTTGGAAATATGTACTTCAGTAAGTGAAATGAGCGGCTTGCCTGTGCACTTAGCACTTAGTGTTGAAACTAATTCAAATTGTGTGTCTTTTCGTGTATAGGTGGAATTGGTGTTAAACGAGATTTTATGCTCGCAAACAAATATTTCAATTTGGCATCACAATCTGGTCATGTATTGGCTTATTACAATTTGGGTCAAATGCATGCTGTCGGCTTGGGAATGATGAGATCCTGTCCAACTGCTGTTGAAGTATGTTACAGTCAATCTAAAGTGTAGCCTAATAAATGATTCGAACGTCGTTAATAATTTATAATCGTTGTTCTGTTTTCAATTTTAGCTCTTCAAAAGTGTTGCTGAACGTGGAAAATGGAGTGAAATATTAATGTTTGCTCATCAAGACTACAAAGCCTATCGATTCAATCAGGCATTCATGAAATATGCATTGGCTTCGGAACTTGGCTATGAAGTGGCCCAAAGCAATGCCGCTTTCTTATTGGATCGCAACGAGGTGACACTTTTCAAGTCACGACATGAGGATTTGGTTCGAGCCTTACAATACTGGAGTCGATCAGCAGCTCAAGGATATTCAACGGCACAAGTTAAATTGGGTGACTATCATTATTACGGGTTGGGAACGGATGTCGATTACGATACAGCTGCTTCGCATTATAGGTAATATTTTGAGCAATTCATTGCCAGAGACCTTTTCATTTTTTTTACTAGCATTTTCGCAATTTGTATTCATTCATTGCAGAATGGCATCGGAGCAACAACATAATGCACAGGCCATGTTCAATTTGGCCTACATGCATGAACAAGGATTAGGAATGAAGAAGGATTGGCATTTGGCAAAACGGTTCTATGATTTGGCTTCAGAAACAAGTGTTGATGCTAAAGTACCTGTTGCACTGGCCATACTCAAGCTATCGCTCATGTTTAAAGTTGAATCAATGAAAGACGTAAGCTCTTGTTCACATTCACCCTATCATTCGACGACTATTTTTAAAAATTGATATTGATTTTTCTGTAACCTATTTTTAATCCGTTACACAGAGCCCGCTAAACTTTTTATTCGAACTGGACAAAAATATTGCTTCGAATTGGGATCTATACCTAATCACATTTCTAACAATACTATTGGGCACGATTTTCTATTTTCGACGACCACCACAAAACATTGAACGTGATAGTCCGCCTAGAAGCCTAGAAACATCGTCATCTCATGCGTCACAATCGGCGACGACACAATCACCCGCTACAGCCACAAATACAGAAGCAGTGAATAGTGACCAATAATTTTATGAAAACAAAGTGAAAAATAAAATTTTAGTATTTATGTATTATTTAAAATCTGTATGTGTGTATTTCATTTTATTTTCATAATTGTTCTCTCTTTTCTCGACATTTGACTATAACGATTTATTTGAAGTGTTATTAGTTCATTGCTGGATGTTCAGGCTTTGTTTGATTGTTGCTATCGGCTGGCTTTTGTCCATCTTCATTTGGGAATAATGGTTCGGTTGGTTGTTTCCACCATTCGGGAACGTATGGATCTCGTAGCCTTGGATCGACACAAACATGATGCACTCGACATTGCACTTGTGCTTTTTCTGTTTTGTTAATCGTCACAGTAACGGAAAATATTTTATTCTCTTTGGCCGGATCAGGACCGGTGATTGGTGTTGGTGGTAGCTCAATTTGTGAATCATCCAAAACGTAAAGTCCTGCCTTGCGCATTGACACTCGAATGTGCCACGGTTCAATAATCCATGGTGTGAATTTGTTCATGCACACTGAAACCAATCGATGACCAAACACATTTATGGTGCGTTCAATGAACGGTGAACGACGTTCTTCCTGGAGTCGCGCCTCTGTATTGTATTTCGCTCGATTTTCCGGTGTATCATAAACAGCTAGACCGGTTAATAACAGTTTATTATAGGCCATGTTTGGTCGAACGGTGACCAAATCACCTTGGTAGCCCAAACCATCAACATATTCAGTTAGAATAACACCGATATCCGGCTTTTTAATGATATTCCCATCTTCGATTAAATCATACACAAAATGCCGGGATTTTAATTTACGTGCTGGATGACCCTTCTTTGCCAGCGGTGGGTCCCATCGTCTTTTGAACACGAATGTATTCTGTGGAAAGCAAGAAAATCGACCATTCAATTGATTTGAGGTTATGTAAATTGGAAATAACTTTGAATAAACCATCATTTTGATACTAACACGAGTTTGTTGAGCTAAAAAGATCTCTGTATTTATCAGGGGCTGCAAAATTGAGGCTCGTCCTGTCTGTAGAATACTTCTCAGCATCATTTTTGATGCCGATTCAATTTGCCTGGCTCGACCGTCACGAATCACCGTTTTCTGTGTGTTTTGAAGCAGCTCCACCGAACTGTCAAAATTTCATTGAATACCATCAACGCAACGTCAATCCACGCAAGAGTATGAGTGCAGCATGTGAGTGTATGTTACAGTATGGGAAATTTCTAGTATTTTGTGACATTACATTGTAAATACACACACACACACAGAGATAACAACGAAACCACCGAAAAGAAGTGAACTTTCGATCGCATGTGCTACACAAGTCTTGGACACTGTCTAGGTACGATTAAAATCTTGTACGTAAACAATATAGGGAAAAAAAAACATTTTTCCGAATTAAAGTACGACGTGCACATTTTTTTCGCTTGACTTTGAATGAATTTCATTTTGGATCCATCATGCAGGAGACATGCATTTTCATTTAAATTAACTACATTTAAATAACAAGAGATGTTTTGTCGGTGACATAAATCTTCTTTTTCTCAGTCAGATCATTAGGTCAACATTAGAGACGTCTTCATTGCGTTGGATTGGCATTAACCGTCAAACTGATTGTAACCGAATAACTAGCAACAGACCAAAGTGAATATACAAGAAGAAGTTACCACATTATCCACCAAAAGCGTTCGTTTGGTTGGTGGATCGTCAAGAAGAGTGGGGATACATAGCACAGATACTAAAAGACTTACCTGAATAAATTACAAGCGGCAAAGTAATTTACGCTCAAGAAACATGATTTCGGTACGGTATCGATCACTTTCTATTTTTCTCATTCACATAAAAACGCTTTACTCGTCAACTCGACCATTGCCGCATGGTGTTTCTTTGTGATTTAGAAATCAAAAACTATTTCAACAATTTAAACAAAAAAGTTTAATTTTTGTTTTCTTAACAAATATTTATTTCGTTAATATATTTTCTTCCGTAATTTATTGTTAAATCTAAAAAGATGTTTGCTCGTGTATCATTTTATCCAACGTTATTTTATAACGTTTTTATGGAAAAAGTCACAACACGACGATGGTACGATCGCATCGATGAACATACAATACTGGGTGCACTGCCGTTTCGTTCGATGGTTCAACAGGTAACAATATCCACATGAATTACCAACCATAATTAACGCAATTGATTTGTTTCAGCAAAAATATAGCCATATTGTTCATTATTCGTGCACACATTTTGTGATTTCATTTTTTAAAAAAAAGTGATTTCTTCATTTTCAGTTGATCGAAAAGGAAAATGTTAAAGGTGTTGTTTCCATGAATGAAGACTATGAGCTGCAATTGTTTTCAAATAATGCAGAGGTAAGTGGAAATTCTTTTCCAAATAAAACGACCGATCGTTTAAAAACAAAAATTTAATAATACAATTTTCAAGATTATTTCCATCTTATGTTGTGTGTGAAAGTAAAATTGGATTCGATATATATATATAACGTAATAATCGACCTTTTAAAATTTAAACTAATTCATTACTCTTCCAACAGAAATGGAAGGCATTAAATGTAGACTTTTTACAATTGGCAACCACAGATATATTCGAATCACCGTGTCAAAATAAATTAAAATCTGGTGTCGAATTTATGAATAGATATTTACCAGAAAATGAAAAAGTCCCTGGCCTACCAAATGAAAATAGCGCAAATGCAGGCACCGTTTATGTGCATTGCAAAGCGGGCCGTACACGAAGTGCAACATTAGTGGGATGCTATTTAATGATGGTAAGCATTTTAATTTATAAACGATCCAAATGTGAAGAAGAAGAAGAAGAAAAGATATTTGATTGAAAATTATTGTGTTTGACAGAAAAACAGTTGGAATCCCGAACAAGCGGTGAGTCATATGAGGGCTTGTCGACCGCACATATTGCTGCACAACAAACAATGGGAAGCGTTGCGTATATTCTTCAATGAGAATGTTAAAACTAATGTTAATTATTCAACTGATAAATCAACACCGGTGACGACGTAAATCAGTCATGTCCGAGATCAATCAGCGACTTATTCAGATTACCATCGGAAACAAATTGTAGCATTAAGACACTTACTTTTGTTGACTTTTTTTTTGTTTTGGTGTCATGAGTCTTGTTCGTCTTGTTTGTTAACCAGAGGAGAAAAGTAATACGAATAAAAAAAAACGGCTCGTTTTGAATAATTTATAAATGGTTCGTTTTTTCTTTAATTCAAATTTAAATCATCTTCGCACATAAAATAGGATACAAATATTGTTATTGTAATTTATTGACCTTTGATGGCCCAGAACTTTCGAACAGTTTGTGCGATACCGATGTCAGTGTGGATGAAGTACAATAGACCGCCGAGAAGGATTGCCGAATAGGCAACAACCAAAAATGGTGCGATTTTTGGAATAAATGAACCGAATAGAACTGGACGCACGTAATCGATGACACAAGCCTCAATGCCCCAGTGAGCGTGCATCACCACCGATACGGCAAGCAATGTGTCTAAGGTTTTTGATGGGAATGCTAAAGCAGCTGGCAATAGACCCAATAAGGCTAAACTCAATGCTCGTTCAGCTGTCCATAGTCCGGCATGATTACTACCAGCGGCTGATTGACGTGCTGCTGTCAATGAAATTTGACGAATGCCAGCGGTTTTCTAAGAGAAGAATAAAACGAAAATTGTGTAACGACACTATGACATTTTGACAACTATAATAATTTGTGTGTGATATACTTACCACAGCTGGTGCGATGTTCAATTTAGGAAACACGAATTGTGCAACATTCTTGTGTTCCAACAGTTTGAATGATGTTTTGCTGGTGGTGCTGAATCGCAAAACATTCGACAAGGTGGCTGCAGCTGCGAGAAAAATCCAGAAAAATACATTTTAGATTCTTTTTGTTTTGATTTACACATGTTATATAATTTAGCTTGGGATATGACATTCACACTGTATATATCGAATTTGCATCGCACACTTTTTTCCATGAGCCATTTTTTTGCTAAGAATTAATCAAATGCACAATATTTCTATTTTCTTTCATTTACCTTTGAATTTATTTTGCGAACGTAACAACACCGACATTGCCATTTTTGAAATTGCGTTTCTCGAAATATCCGAATCAAAAACAAAATAGACTTTTTTTGGTGCACCTTTATCTTTCTACCAGCGAAATGTCAAATCATACGGATTCAATATCGGCGTGAAGTTTGTGTGTTTCGATGTAGAAAAAAACAAACTGCGAACGCTGTCGCAGTGTTTTCAAGTTTGCCCGAAATGTCTAACCTCAAAACGGTACGCATCACCAAACAAAAGTCATTCGTCATTGTGTTAGCATTTCAAGCAAATTACATTTCGTGTTTGACGAATTCGATCGAGAAAGAACACTTTATTCAATAAGAGTTGATTAAAGAAAAGGTTTGCACGTGAAAATATTGATAAATTCTTTTTGCATTAAAAATTCAATTGGAACGTTAGCACGATGGCTGGAACATTAGAAGATAAATCGATTTGGGAAGAGGAGGAAACATTGGGTGAAGAAGTTTTGCGTATGCCAACCGATGAGATTGTTAGCCGCACTCGTTTGATGGACAATGAAATCAAAATCATGAAAAGTGAATTGATGCGAATCACACACGAACTTCAAACACAGAATGAGAAAATCAAGGATAATGCCGAAAAGATTAAAGTGAATAAAACATTGCCGTACCTTGTGTCGAATGTCATTGAATTGCTGGATGTTGGTAAGTGGATGATTTTAAATTTTAACATTCTGTTGATCGGATCGGATTGGAAAATGGAATATTTTCCATATGGAAAATCTCTTTGTTACGAAGAATTATCGTGTGATGTGTGACTTCAAAACAAATATTCCGTTCCAACAAACCAGTTTGAATTTCCATTTTGACTGACATTAACCGTATTGAGCGTACAAATAATTCAATGTTTAATTGATTCGCAGAACAAGAGGAAGAGGATGATGGAGCCGTTCTAGTGCTTGACAATCAACGAAAGGGAAAATGTGCTGTCATCAAAACATCTACCAGACAAACGTATTTCTTGCCGGTCATTGGTCTTGTTGATCCGGAAAAATTGAAACCAGGCGATTTGGTTGGTGTAAACAAAGATTCATACTTGATTCTGGAGACATTGCCTGCCGAATACGATGCTCGAGTCAAAGCAATGGAAGTGGATGAACGGCCAACTGAACAATATTCCGATATTGGTGGTTTGGATAAGCAAATCCAAGAGTTGATCGAAGCCGTTGTACTGCCGATGACACACAAAGATAGATTCAAAAATCTGGGCATTCATCCACCGAAGGGTGTCTTATTGTATGGTCCACCGGGAACGGGAAAAACATTATTGGCCCGTGCTTGTGCCGCCCAAACAAAATCAACATTTTTGAAATTGGCCGGACCACAATTGGTGCAGATGTTTATTGGTGATGGTGCAAAATTGGTTCGTGATGCCTTTGCATTGGCCAAAGAAAAGGCACCGGCCATCATTTTCATCGATGAATTGGACGCCATCGGAACGAAGCGTTTCGATTCGGAAAAGGCTGGTGATCGTGAAGTACAACGTACCATGTTGGAGCTGCTCAATCAATTGGACGGCTTCAGTTCAACGGCTGACATCAAAGTCATTGCAGCTACGAATCGTGTTGATATTTTGGATCCAGCTTTGTTGCGTAGTGGTCGTTTGGATCGTAAAATCGAGTTTCCGCATCCAAATGAAGAGGCTCGTGCTCGTATCATGCAAATCCACTCGCGTAAAATGAACGTCAGCCCTGAAGTAAACTTTGACGAATTGTCACGATCCACAGATGATTTCAACGGTGCCCAATGCAAGGCCGTTTGCGTTGAGGCTGGTATGATTGCACTCCGTCGCTCTGCCACATCGGTTACACACGAAGACTTCATGGACGCTATTATGGAAGTACAGGCCAAGAAGAAAGCCAATCTCAACTATTATGCATAGATGAAATCATTTCTTTTTTTTCTACTAGCCGTACCATAATAATCTTCATTTGTTTAACAACACTACTGATAAACAAACATATAATATTTTTCAAAGAAAAACGCTGAGTTTAATAAAAAAAAAAAGTAAATAAAACAAATTCGATTACAGTTTACAAAAAAAAGAATGGTTATTTTCTTGGGTTACCGCATTCGATTCGCTTGAAATCAATGCAATATTTATAATTATCTGTGTCGGGTATTTTGCATGTGTACATATTTTTTATCTTGGAAACAAGGTAACTGTAAGTAATCAATTGCGGAAAATTGCCATGACTATGCACGCACAGGCACACAGTAGTCATTGAAAATGGTGGAAAGGAGCGCGAGGCAGAGAGAGTGAGAGAAAGAGCAAAATGAAAAGTCATTTTCATTGCAGCTTTCATTTCAGCCGTGCACACGGCAGCGCAATAGAGAAACCCAAGTGCGTTTAACGCATAATTTTAACGCGATGTCGCTGTTGTACGTCAAATATCAAAATTATTTCCACTGAATTGTTTAACATTATACGGTAAACAGCTGATTGTATATATAAACAAATGGATGAAATGTACGTGTATTGAATTGAATACGCATGCATTTGAACGAATACGTGCACACTAAATTTCAGCGTATAGCTCGCTCGACGTTATGTGTTTTTTTTTCTCTTCCTTTCTTTCACATCTCGGTGTGTTTTGTTGTTGTTGGTGTTGTATTTTTCTGTACTTTTCTTGCAGTGCTTTCAAACGCTGAACAACATTTATGTACTACACACAGTGTGTGTATGTACGTACGTACCACAAAGCCACATACCAAGGGTATGATGTTGAAGACAAATCGTCAATGCATAATATTATTTTATGATTTAAAAAAAAAAAACGAAAGAAGTAAGAATAAAAGCCATAGTAGTGAAATAGTGTGTTTATTGTGTAAAGATCAAATGAGAAATTTGTCTCAGTGTTCGATTAAAACGATTAAAGAGTTGACCACGGGATTTTACTGCACAATCACACGACAAAAACAAAATAAATCAACAAAAATGAAGACGATTATAGCGAATTGTTTATCATGATTCAATCAGACACATAGTTAGATTCGAACAATGGACTGAATGTGATTACAAACTTACAAATCTGTACCTGCAAATCAAATAATACAGGACACAAAAACAAAACAAATACAGAAATAATCGAGCTGCGGAAATAAAAAAGAAACAACACGACACAAGTAAAAATAAACAACGACCGAATAGAAAAAAAAAGTATCTGTGGACATTTTGTTCGTAGTGCATTGAAAATTCCTGTCGTATCATTCATTTTGTTACAAACATTTTTTCTTCATCGGTCGAGTGTGCTACACTATTGGATGCACTCAACTAGGCTTTCTATTGAGTTTTAATGTCAAATTTTTTACCGAAGTTTTTTTTTCTCCTTCACATCGCCCCACTGTACGCTGGTTTGCTTTGAAATGGCTTGCAAATCATAATTTATGGATTTTGTTTGTTCGCGAGCATAGAGTACCAGCGGAAGGAAGTTGTATGAATTGTGTGTGTGTGTGTTTTTTTCGTTGAGCTCATTATCCGATTTTCATTTTGTGCATCAACTATCAAGTGGTCGTCGTCATCGTCATCGTCGTCTTCGTCTTGGTCGTAGTCGTAGTCGTCGGTACTTGTCAAAGAGAATCAAATCCTAAAATTTATTGATGCAATAAATCTTTGATGCAGATGATTTTCTACACGATATCCTTGAGCACATAGTGCGAGTGATATTGAATCGATTGGGCACCGGTCAAACAACATTAAAAAGCAAAATATCATACACTTTTTCCCCTTCAGTGCACACATAACGAAGCAAAAAATGGGCAGCGTGCAAGTTGAGGGTGCTAATCCCATTTTTCATCTATTGCAACGCCAGATTGGTAAAAATATTTATAGTTTCCGTCGAAATTTGTTCCGTGAACGTTTGGCCAGTGCAAGGAATTTGTATTGCAAAAATTTGGTGTCACATTATGGGTGCGTGAATGCTATTGAATTTTCCAGTCATGGGGATCTGCTGATATCCGGTAATTTTTCTTTTCATCTGATACGGAAATCGATAAAAAAAAATTGCATGCTGCAAGATTGCAAAAGCGACTGTCGTAAATAGAGGTTATCGAATCATGAAAATGTAAATCGATGATGGGCACGACGGGTCGCTTTTTCTGTAGGATCAATATTGTCAATGGTTTGAAACAAGAAGAAAACAAAAATATTAAATCATTTCTCGATATGTGTATGTGTATGTGTCGACAGGTGGAGATGATCGTCGCGTTCTATTGTGGAAATTGGAAGAGGCGATGGCTGGAGTTGGTGAGCCACATGCTATGCAAAAGCAACACTATAGCAACATATTTTGCTTGGGTTTCAATAATGACAGCACGAAAATCTTTTCGGGTGGAAATGATGATGCAGTTATTGTGCACGATGCCAACACGTATGTCAATCTCACATTTCACGTTTAAAATTCATCTTAACACTTTTTCACTCATTTTTCCGTTTATTTATACCGATGCACAAACAAAAACACGCAGATGTGAGCCATACGAACGGTTTCTGCACACAAAGCCAGTTTATGGATTATCCGTTGATGTAACAAATGATCAAGTGTTCGCGACAGCCAGTGAAGATGGTCTGGTTTTAGTATTCGATTTGCGCATTGGTTCACAGGTGTTGGCTTTGCCAAATAGCCGTGCACCATTCCACGCGGTACAATTTCATCCATTGGACGGTAATTCAATAGTCACTGCCAACGGCAAGGATGGAGCGGCCCTTTGGGATCTACGTGACACCAAAAAGTGAGTGTTTTTAACTTGAATCAACTTGATGGATTTCTTCAAGTGCAATAATCAATTTAATGAAATCATTGCCATCGGTGACAGGCCTTTCATTCGTTATGACGGTGGAAAAAATTCCATTCAGAGTTGTATGAGCGTTCGCTTCAACACTTATGGTACACAAGTGTTGGCTCTGCGACGTCGCCTTCCTCCAATTCTCTACAATACCCATAGTGAAGATCCCATTTGTCAGTTCTACCATGCTGATTATTATAACTCATGCACGATGAAAAGCTGCTCGTTTGCGGGCGAAAACGATGAATATGTGATATCTGGATCGGATGACTTTAATCTGTATATGTGGCGTGTTGCAGATGCAAATAGTAAGTGTGTCAATTGCATTTTGAAACGACAACGCGCTAATTTGCATGCTGTTCTTATAGTAACCAAGAAAAATCAATGGATTGACACACACCACATGGTTCTGTACGGTCATCGGTCGATCGTTAATCAAGTTCGATACAATCCACAAAAGTGCATTCTTGCCTCGTCTGGTGTTGAGAAAATTGTCAAAGTCTGGAGACCATTCGAATCGGAGAACTGGACGGGCAGTTTGGTTGAAGATGGCCCAACAAATACCAGAGAAATTTTCTCCCAAGAAGAATATCAATCGTTGTACAACTCAAACCAAAATCACACAGAGGATTACAGCTATCAAAACACAACTGAAGATCCACAAATGATGGCATGTGAGTATTTCCATTTCATATATTCCTAATTTTTCAATGCACTGATCCACGATTTGTATTGTCCATAGTCTTTGATTCACTTGTGCAACGTGAAATTGAGGCTTGGAACAGCAATGATAATTCCGATTCGGACAAGAGCAGTGTTCATAGCTCGGATGGATCGCGCCGAACATCGACATTGCAATCGGAAAGTGATGAAACATTTCAAGTATACGGTAGAGGTAAGCTGAATGTTGATGTTGTATTTGGAACATTCGAAAAGGAATATTTATCAAAAATTGCTATTTTAATTTAGTATTTTCTAAATCTAAGCTAGCGAATCAATTTCCGAACACGGAAAAATCAATAAAATGATTTTAATTCGTTTCCAATCAGAATCGGCGAATCGAAATCGCACAATGATTAAGACACGATCAAGACATTTGAATAGGATAGCTTATTTAATTGCCACGAAACGTAATACGCTCAAGCGACTAGCGCTCAAAGGTTCAACCCGAACAACTAGACGAGTTCGGTCGGTCAAGAGTAGCCAACGCAAAATGCAACGATCGTCGTTTCGACAGCCGCGCAAAAACAATGGAAAACGCATCAATCGAATGGTATGGCTCGATGGAATATAGCTCATCAATTTGCAAAAATTTTACATTAATTTTCACTGACTTTCCGCTTACATGTACAGAATTCACGTACCAAATCAAGAGACTGTAACGGCAATAATAGTGAAACTGAATTGCCTAAGAATCTGGCCAAGCGTCGTCAACAATCGCACTTTAATGTACCGTCATATCGATCCACGCGACGTGTTAACAAAACACAGCTGCACAAAACTTTCTACGCTAATTGCGGTAAGTCTGACGAGAAACTGAACGATTTTTTGGGAGTTTAACTCATTTTGTCATTTGTCCATCAGATTCGGGTGATTCATCGTCCGACGAACACTTATCTGATAACAACAACAGTGCATCGGCACTGTCCAAAACAAATGGCAATCCAGAGACAACCAATGGAACACATCGATCCATGCAAAATGATAATAACAACGACTCCTCAGCAAGTTATCCAATCCCAAGCACAAGTACTGGAATCACTGGCAATGGTAAAATTGATAATTTTTTATTTGATTGAATGAAATATATGATAAGAAATAAATCGATTGATTTAAATTAATTAATTGATCGTTGAATTGTTGTAGGTGCTAATTTTCGAATCGTTCAAACACCGGATTCGGACGATGAACCAACACCAGACAGTAGTCCCATATCACAGGCAAATGCTCAAGTGCCCGCAACTAAAGTGAATGGGGTGCATACGGCAACAACGGCACCCGCCTATTCATCCGGCGTTGATGATGATCAGCCGAATGAACGAAATTCACGACGCAAACGAAACCATTCGCTTACCACAGCCAATTATCTCTTTACAAACTATTCGAGTCATTCGAGTTCACGCTTATCGAACAGCAGCAGTAGCGACGATGATGACACATCTAGCGATGATAGTTCATTACCATTTTTCTCGAAACATTTAAGCAAACGACCAAAACAAAACAATGAAAACAACGAAGCATCACATGCACCAATACTACGCATTGAACGTACACCGAGTCGTTCACGAGACCCAAAAGACTGTGAAGTAGAAACGCCGGACAGTGGTATTGGTTCCACGCCAGGCACTTCAACCTCGTCCAGATGATCTTCAACGTAACGACAATTAACGCATTGCTTCGTTTTCGTTATTGGGTTTTTTTGAGTTTCCACAAAATCAATTTGATTTTCTATTGCAATTAGTTTTTATTATGACCGGTCTAGAGCTAAGCTCATTTTTTTCGCTCACCGTCACTCGGGCAAATTGCTAAGACATATAGAATATGTAAAACAAAAACAAATAACTCCAGTAGCGTATTATCAATGAATACAATCCAAAATGGTGCACCATTGAGTCAAAAATGAAACAAGAGAACAAATGGAGGTGTTGATAAGAGCTGGTGCATAATAAATGGGGATATAAACACGAATATTGCATGAATCACGCCATAGTGCTGTTTATGTGCATGTGAATATTGGATAGGATATAGTATCGAGCGCATAAAGTTTTCTCTAGCTCTATAAAAGAGTTTCGAGCATTAGTGTTACATAGAGAGAGATATCTCGATTAAATTAGAAATTGAGATAGACCTTGTAATATGGTTCAAACAGAATTTTTAAGTGCTAAGCTACATCCCGAGTATTGATCTTATTTCGATTTATCTTACGTTATTTTACTTACTTACTTCAATAAATTTTCAAGTGTGTGACATTATTTGCGTATAAAATGCGTGCAGTCCGTTGTTCGGATGGTCTTTTCATTTCTGCAACTGTCTATCATTATTCGTTTAGATAAACAACGGGATATTTCGCATTTTGAACGAGAAATAACCACATGCTATTCTCGAAATACTTTATTTCGTTTTCTTTGTATGTGTGTGTGTGTTTTGTTTATCGAAAAAATAACAACGGAATAATTCACTTCTGTTCACTGGTTTAGTATGGAAAATAACTTGACGCTTGTTTTCAAAATAAGCATTTTTGTTGATGAGTCCGCAGCATCTACTCCATGTCAGTTGGGAGCCAGTGATCCGAATCGATGCTCGTATAAATGTGTCCTTCTGTGGTCATGTTCTCCATGATGTTTCTGCAAGCATGAAACGAAACGATTAAATGAGAAGAAGAAATAAATTGACTTTTCCCTTAAGAAGATAACAAAAATGGCTTGAATAGTTGGACACTTACTCTAATTCAGGCAATGGAATGTGACTGAATTTCTTGTGTAGCTCCTGTTTGCTGATGCCTTGGTCATCTTTGTTTTCCTTCACTGCTTTGTAGATCAACAGCTGTTTTCCAGTCAAACCGAGGCTATTTCCATTATCCGAACCGCCAGTGAAGCCTGTGTTGCTGTTGAATGTCGATGTCGATTGGTAGGTATTCGTATTGGAGCCACCACCGCCGCCACCAGCATTATTTGCGAAATCTTCAGCCAAGAACCGTGCATTCAACACTTCCAGCAAATGTGTAGTCAGCTCATTGATCGATGACAATGGATCAATTTTGAAAATCATGAGTGCTTTTGTGCCGCCTTGATTACGAATCGAACCGAATACACGGACGTACGTGTTCAACAGCAATGCTGGCATGTTTGAGCCGTCACCATCTTCCAACCACAAATGCGCATCGATTTGGCCCGAATGATCTTCGACGGTGACCGTGATTTTGGTGGACGAATGCTCAACATTTCGTACGATACCAACAATCGAGACCATTCCGAATGCCATGCCAAATAGCTGAAAGTTATCGGGTGCTTTCTTGATTTGTGCAATAACCAACGGAACAATACCCTGTAAAAATGGCAGACAAATGCTTCGTTTAGATTCGGGAGTATGTATCGATCAAATACGACAGATCGTCTTTAAACAATGGATTCTCAGTTGGGAAAGACGGAAATATTTTGCAAACAGAATTTTCACCCCACATCGTTTGAATAATTGAGAACCAATAAACTCTTTTGAATTTCTAGACTCAACATGATTCGATGTGATGTTTCATCCAGTCATGTTGAGTTAATGTTAAGCTCAATTAATTATAAAATAAAATTTTAATGACAATAAACGGTGAAATACATTTGTTGTCCCTTATAAATCACTAAATCAATTGCAATTTATACGCAACATTTCGCACAATGACTTGCTTGAAACTAGGATGGAAACGAGTCAATGTGCGTTATACATTGTTGTTGTATTCAGTGTCAAAAATGTATGTAAAATAAAAATATCAATAATTTTCGCAATTCAGGCCGAATTCAGACATTTTTCTCAACAAATTGACCAAATCATATGGAAAAGATTGCAATTACCTCAGCTTTGGTTTCGCTCTGAACACCACTGCCTCCGATCTGGGATGCATCAAAACCGCCGGCTCCAACTGTAAAACGCAATTTGTTTGTATTTTGAAATTGATGGAAAACGCGCGTGATTTCAATTTACTTACAACTTTCATCCATTTTTAATGTATTGAGATCGCTGGTAAAACAACAAAATGTATCACAATGGTTTTCTAACGCAGGAAATGCAAGGAATCCAACAATTTCACAACGATGCTCAATTATTTTGTACCGCGTCCATATAACAAACACAAAACGAATAGCGCGAATGTCACATTTGCGCGCCGAAAGAGCATGTATTACCTTAAGTGTGTTCGACTGTCACATCGAAATGAACATCTGGCAACACCAAATGGTCATGTTTAGAGCGCTTGGCGTGTGTATCGAGTTTTAGCGGTATTTCGACATTCGTAATAGACAATCGGTATAAATGTGACCAGAAATGAATTTTCCAACCTAAGAATCGTTGTAAAAAAATTTGTAAATCGGAATCGTTCATCAAACAATAGTTAAATGTCGATTTCCGAGTGAACAATCGGTTAAAATTAATTTTTAAATGCAATTTGCCTAACGGTTAGCGCTTGACAAATTGGTCGAATGAGAGCGTTTTCATGTGGGCACTGTTTAGTTCAATTTTTCTCCACGCGGTGGCTACGATACCAAATGCTCAATGGCATCTCGTGAAGCACACAAACTTTGTGTAACTACAACATTTTTTTAGTTTGATTCGTTTGTGAATCAAGTTAGAAAAAAATCGAAATTTTCGTATAAATTCGGTTAAAATAAATTTCAAAAAATTATGCAAAATGTTTGTAAAGATTTCGTGCTGCATTTAATTAATAAATTTGTTTGTCAACATCGTTTTATCTGTGTTTAAAACCGATTTTCAAACGGGCATGCGAAAAAAATTTCCCTCCAAATTGTGAACAAGAAAAGTGAGGAACCATACACACCAGGCGAATTAAAGAGAAGAGCAAAAAAAATAACGCGAGAGAGAGAGAGAGAGAGAGAGAGAGAGAAGTGAAGCGAGTGTGTTTTTGAAGTTAGAAGTGCTTGTCGTGCTGAACGTATGCTGCTGCTCACAAATCACATCACAAGCCAAACGACACGATATTCACGGCTGAGCAAAACCAATTTTAAATCGAACCAAATTGAAATTCATTGACGGAGGCCCCGAATCACCGAAATCATGCCTCTGTTGAAAAGGAAACCTTTCGAAAAAGATCCAAACACGCATCAGGCGTTAAAGGACAACCAGGAGGTGTTTTATTGTGAATTGTCGAAGGAAATTTTTGTCGATTATGAGTAAGTGCATTTCGATTTCTGCCTATTTCTTCTTTGCATTCGGTCGTGTAATTTGTTTGTACGCTGCAAAAAGTGCATTGAAAAATGGTTTTGTGTGGTGTTTGTTCATTGTGACTCGTTGCCTTGTCTGTTTGTTGCTGCTGCTGCTGCTGCTGCTGTTGTTTGAGTTGTGCTTCTCTTGTATGCCTTGTGTCCCGTGTGTTTCGGATTCGAGACATGCAATTTAGAGATTCGCGTTGGATAAATTACGTTCAATAGTGAAATATGAAAGTTGAACAAAGCAAAGCGCACGATGTGTGAACTGCCGCCGCAGTTTTGTTCTGCTGATGGTGCTCTCTGTGCCTTTGTTTGTAGAAGAAGACGCTTGCTACGCTTTTACGATACGATATGAGTGGCGTGTGTTTTTCTGTTCTCTTCGATGTTGTTTCATGAGTCAGCCAGCGTTCGGTTTTACTACATACAAAATGTTCATTTTGACAATGTGCTCGACACTCTGTCCCTGAATTCTCATTTATGATTCGATTTCGATGCAAAATCAATCATAATCGATATGATTATGTTTGAATACTTTAAATCGTTTTTATTTTCATGTTATTTTCACATGTAAAACAGCTGATGACCCGTTTTAGTGCTAACAACTTGATTTAACTTAATTCCAATAGAAGAATCTCTTTAAACGTGTTCTTTAAAAATGGGAACAAAAAAAAAATCCGAAAAAAATGTAAACAAAAACAACCGGCAAAATTTTTGATAAAAAAAATAATTTTTTTTGTTTTGTTTTTTTTTTAATGTTCATAAATCAAAAGTTGAATTTTCTTGTTTTATAATTGTCGATGGCAAGAATTAAATTAAAAATTTCTTCATTTTTTCAATTACAGGGAATATTTCGAACGAACAATGCTGTTCAATTCGACAATATGGACATGTGCGGTGAGTGGCAGACCAAATCTAACTTATGCCGAGGCACTGGAAAGTGAAAAGAAACACAGAAAAATGATCGAAGCATTTCCACAAGTGCTAAAAGGTCCCGTTGTGTATATAGCAAATCTCACAAAGCGGTCAGCGATTAGTGATTTGGTCGACGACGTCTTCAACTATGTAAACACACGGTACTTTAAGAATGAAAAGGTCGTCGCCAAAGATCCAAATTCCGATCAGTTCATCGAGTGTGAGGTGGTTGGTTTTGTCACATCGGCCACTGAAACCAGTCCGAATGGCAAAGTCCCAACGGAGGATGTTAAATATCGTGTGAAACGAATCGAAGCAAATGGCAAATCGCCGATGCTGTGGACTGTCAATCCCGATCAAATTCGTCGCCGTAAAAAAGATAACAGTTTACCATTTTCCAAAGACAAATTGAAGCTGTTTCTCAAACAGTGCATCGAATACAACGACATTCGCATGCTGACAATCAAACAGGATGCATACAAAAGGTATGTGATCGACGCAAATATCACAGCATTGTCCAGTTTTTACGTGGGCAAGCAACCGACATTCGATCTGTCCAAGGTGTTGGCCGACAAAAAGGAAAAGGATAAAAAGAAGAAGCAAGAACAGAAAAAGATCGACAAAGAGAAAAAGAAGAAACTTGAGAACGGTGTATCAAAGAATGGCACAACGCCGAATAAAAATGGTAAAGTGAAAAAGACCGGCAAACAGTCGTTATTGGATGATTTTGTGACCAAAGACGGCGCCAAAATTGCCGAATTGAAAAAACAAAAGAAACTGGAAGACGAAGAAGCCAAACGACGAAAAGAAGAAGAGAACCGCAAACGCAAGGAAATGGAAGCCGAACGCCAGAAATTGTTGGCCGAAGAGCGCAAAAAGCGTTTGGCCGATCTGATGCAGTTGGTACAAGTGACCGTACGCAATTTGAACGCGGTTAAAGATGACCTCGAATTACAAGATCAGAAAGTGTTGCCGCCCACAAAACCGGTGAAAACCGTATTTGCCGACAAATACTTCTCGGACGCAGTCATGGTGATCGAGTTTATCTCATCGTACACGGCAATTTTGGAAGACAAAGACAAATTCCGTAATGGAATCGATTTTAGTCTTATGGAACGAGCACTATTAACACGTGAAATTGCCGGGCCGTTGAGTGACATTTTGCAAGTATTGCTTGGTTCAATATTTTCACTGCAAATTGAAGAAGCCAACGAAATTGACATTGAATACGAAAGTGGACCAGTCACATTCAAAGAAAACATTCCCAACGGACAACAGGATCTAATCAAACGAGCTACGGTCGCCGCTACATGGCCACAAAATTATTTGAGCTTGACGATGAGCGAACTACCCATCGATGCAACCACATTAACGGAACTGTTGCGTTTACATTTCCTCACATCTGGCGCCAAATTGACTGAATTTGGCACAAAATATCGTTTCCAAGAGCGTGGTGGCTTCCAGAACACAGACGATCCCGGTGTCATGTTTTGCATCGAAAATCCACACATTCTGAGGGCATTGTCTAAGCAAACGGTCTACGAACTGCCAACCGATGACATTTTGTCGGTACTCCGTGTATTGATCAATCAAATTTTGAGCTATTCGTCGGTTCGTGATTTGGTGGAGGAACGATTGGAAAATTCGAACAAAGCCAAAATTGCGCTGAAAAATTTGCTGTCGGCCGAACGTAAGCGCGAATCAACATTGGCATCGGAGAAAAAAGAAGTATTGGAAGAGGTGAAAAAAGCGCTGGAAACCTTTGAAGGTACCGAAGAAGAGAAGCTGGCCCATAAAGATGCATTGGATAAAAAAGCCGATCTCAAAATCAAAAGCCTGGAATTTGCGGCCGAACGAGAGAAGAAAAAGTTCACCGATCAATTGGATCAGCTGAAGAGTGAAATCTTTGACTATCAACTCTGTTTGGGTTCCGATCGTGCATATCGTACCTATTGGCTATTTGAATCGTTGCCCGGTTTGTTCATCGAGCACGATCCATTCGGTGGACAGTGCTTTGAAAATCCAGTTTCAAATATCCATGGTTTGGCCACATGCCCGCCGGAAAAGCGGTATTTGTTCATTAAAAATATGTTACAGGAACAGCAAAATAACAATTCCAACGATAAAGATAAAGAGAACAAGGTGAGCAACACACTGGATGCCAAACCAAAAACAAATGAAAACGCTGCAAAACTGCCCGAGTCCGAAGCTGAACCGGTGGCGCCTGCACCGCCAGAAATCACATACTCACAACGTGACCTTTTCATGTGTACGGGAGACTATGAAACGTGCCGAGTTCACAATGTAAACGACAAATCACGTATCACATGGTCATTTTTGCATACGGAAGAGGAACTTAACGCATTGATCGATTCGCTAAATCCACGCGGTTTTCGCGAAAAATTGCTGAAAGAGCAGCTGGAATCTCAGAGAGAATTGATTTTGTACCACACGAAAAAGTGTCCAGTGGATAAATTGCAAGTCGATCCAGAGACCATTGAACAAAGAATCGAGCAAATCACCAATGAAAAGTCGAAAGTGTATTCAAATGCAAACTTCAACTATCCAAAGGGAACAACAATTAGCGAAGTGATGGTGAACGAAATTCGGTCGAACATTCTCGAATTGGAGTTCAAAGTAACAAGCGGCCAGCTGGGTGTGTTATCTGTAAAAGATCGAATGCAATGGCGTGCCGCATTGGAGGCCAACAATTACGATATGCAAACAAACAGCTTGCAATGGGGACCATACGGACAATTCCAAGAAGGTAACCCAAATAAAAATCATACTCGCGGTCGGGATGTGTGAATATAACCGGTTTTTTTGTGTGTGTTTTTTTTGTCATTTATTTTTCAGATTCTAAAGGCAAAGTCAAGGTTATCCAACAAAATGGAAAGGCATCGATCAAGAAAGAAGAAGACGACAATGAGGAAAATGACGAAGAGGATGATAACTCGTCGCTATCGAACCTGAAATACGAAGATCCAGGCGCGTTTATCAATGACCAAAGCGAAGATTCACCGGAAGACGAGGCGTATTTCAAACAAATCCATGGGCTGTCTTGTGCTCTTCTGCAAATCTGCCAATCGATCGATGTCAAATATTTTAAACCGCCGTACGGTAATTTGAAATCGGGTGGCAAACACGGTACTAGGGAGGAGAATGCCGAAAAAGCCCAACGAAGCTTAGAAAGATGGCAGGTTTCATTGATGAATTGCAAAAATGCATCACAACTCTTTCTACACTACAACGTTTTGTATGATGCCATCAAATGGACACGATCGGCCCAAAATGCAAAATGTTCATGCCGCAGTTCCAAAGATCCAGACAAATTGCTGCTGTGCGACGGCTGCAACATTGGACGTCATATCTACTGTTTAAAACCAAAATTAACGGTAAACACTTTTGTTTGAATGTTGTGGTTTTAATCGATTCACTCATGTTATTCATTTGTTTTGATCTTGTGTTTTTCAACATATGCATTACAGAAAGTGCCTGAAGGTGATTGGTTCTGCAGCAGATGCAAACCGAATCAACAGCCACTGCCACAGAAAAAGAAGCGGCAAACATTTAACTACTCAGAAGAAGATGAGGAGGACGACGATGACGAGGAGGTCGAAGAGGAAGACGAAGAGGAGGATGAGGACGTCAAAGATGAGGATGAGGAAGACGAAGAAGAAAGTGATGATGAGTCAACATTGGGCAGTCTGTTTGAAGATTCACAGTAAGCATTTGTCCCCGTTTTTATTTTATTAATTGCTTTGTGGTTAAATGGTATTCAAATAACAGAATGAAATCATTTTTGTTTGTCTTCATAGGTCCGACAGCAACTACACCGACAAAAAAGTGTGTGCACGTTGTAACAAAGCCAATCGCAATTTGTTCAAGTGTTCAAAATGTGATCGACATTATGATACGAAATGTCTGAACATGAAATCGAAACCAGATAAAAAATGGTCCTGCAGCCATTGTAGAGATAGTCGAAACAAGCGACGCAGAAATCAAGGTACAACGATAATATTTTAGACAACAGTCGATTATTATTCGAATCAATATTTTTTAAATCGTCAAAATTCGACAGATCATTTATTTCCCATATTTTCTTTGTTTTTCATCTGTTTCGTTCTAAATTAAAACAATAACTTGCACTCATAGTGATTTAATCGAATTTCCACTTAACGCTGCATTTGTTTATTCCAGTGGAGTCATCCGAAAGCGATGACGAACAATCAGCTAAAGCGCCAAAGTTGAATGGTACGGAAGAGAGACGGTCGTCGCGACGAAAGACAGAATCATCACCACCAAGTGGTCATCGATTGAGTAGTACACGACGTAGCCGTGCCAACGATGATCTATTGCTGGACAATGTAAGCATTCACAAGTTGCTCGACGATGTGTGCAAAAATGAAAATTCATGGCCTTTTCTGCGACCGGTCAGTCGACACGAAGTGCCCGACTACCACAAAGTGATCAAACAACCGATGGACTTAGCAAAAATTAAATCCAAATTGAATACCGGCCAGTACACGACCAATGCAGAAGTCATGAAAGATATTCAGCTGATCTTCTTCAATTGTGACCTGTACAACCAAAATGAATCGGAAATTTACGTGTAAGTTGTTTTTTTTCTAAAATCATCTCTCGATCGTCGCCGCCCTATGCCAAATCATTTAAATAGCCGCTAATATGTTTGTATTCTCATTACAGTGCTGGAGCCACGTTAGAGTCGTACATTGTGACACGTTGCAAGGAGCTTGGTTTGAACTTTGTTCCTAGCGAAATGGCCAACAGTTTAAACGATGAGTCATCGTCGAAACGAAAACGGCAGAAACTGTAATTTCTAGACACACATGTTGAACCAAACAAACCAATAGCAAAAGCACCAACTCGTAACAAACATACAAAACAACTACAACAACAACAGCAGTAATCAAATTGAGAATAATTCAGCGATAAACTGTCTCTAATTAATTTATTCATATTATTTCTGATTTTGAGTAGACAATAAGTGTAATAGTTTTTTTTTGCATGTTTATTATTTAGTACAAAATCGTTCGTAGGTAACAGATATATTTTTTTTCCTTTCTTTCCATGGATGATAAATAATGTGTTGAACCGAGCAGACGAGTTTTAAGTTTATATAATTTCTACGAATTTCGCATCGAAAGTTTTGTCGGGTCATTTGAAAGTCAGGCATAGATCGTTTTGGCAATTTGAAAAGAAGAAAGGAAAGCAAAAGAAAGAACGAGAGATGGAAAGGAAAACAAAACAGTGTTCAACTTTCGATAGGACAAATGATTGAATTGATTATAATATTAGAATAATTACGTCGCCATTAGTTTTTGTTTTACTGGGGCTTTTCAAAAACTGTAATCCAAATAAACCCCTCTAAATTAAGCGCTGATCGCGAGATTGGGCTGGTTCACTCAATCGATCACACTAGTTTTACATACACTTACACCCAAACCCACACCCACACACCGCATTTGAAAAAAGTTCAGTTCTGCATGGACAAAACAAGTAATTTTTGATCAAGAAAAACGAGCATTGCTGTTTGCATCTAAATAATAAATAGTTATACATTTCTTTTGCGCACGCAAACAGACTTTTGCGAAAAGATAACAACAACACATCCAAAAAGCACATACAAACACACACTCACCACTGTAGATATCTAATTTATAAGCTATGGAAAATGATGTATTATGTTCGTTAAATTTAATTTCTCGGTTAAGTTGAAAACATGAAAAACAGAGTAACATATACACACACAAGCAAACAAAAAAAAAATTTACATTTAATTTAGACCATGGTTCGATTTTATATTATCAAAAGGAGAAAAAGAAAAACTCTAGCATAAGCAAACAGTTGAATGAACTTAAGAATAATTTAGCAGTAAAAAAAGGAACAATTGCAGTAAAAAGCACAGAGGAAGAAATCGTGTGAATGATATGATAATGTTCAGGCAGAGCAAAATGTGAATTTTCACCGTAATGTTTGGATTGTAATTGAGTTTTTTCTGTTTTTCATTCTCGAAAAATTGAACATTTGAATAAAAATGAAATCAACCAGCCGATGATATGTTCAGTTTTTCTGGAGCCTCTTTGCCTGCCCAACAACAACATCAAAATCATCATCATCATCATTTGAACATACTTTTTTTTTTTTCAAAAATCATGAATAAAATGAAAAAGTTATCAAAAAATGAAGAGAAAAAGAAGCAATTGGTCCATTTTAAATGAAACTTGTTGGTTTTACTGTTCGCTTTAACAAACGATTTTATTCGCTCTTTATTTTCGTTTTTACTATATAATTCAACATTTTGTGTGATAAATCACGTCCAATCGAGATAGCACTAAACGTGATCATTCATTAATCTGTTGACTTGATCTCCTGATGGAGGAGGCTTGAATGTTTCCTTTTAAATTCTATTGGATCTTTCTATAAAATGTTCGATACTAGGTGTTGCTGGTTGTTGTATTTGGAAACGTAGGAAAAGCATGACCGTAACGACATTTAATGGTGAGCATGTTCCTCTGCTTCTTTTCTTTCCTTCTCCTTCCAAACGGCAACATTTCCTGGTGAGTTAACTATAATGACAAACAAACAACAAAATAAGCAATTAGTCGCTTCGTCATTCAAATTCACAGCTGAGTTTGGTCTGATTTCCTGTTTGGTTTCGCATTTTATGATTGCCATCCCAGAAATTCTAACCTATTTTTTTCTTCTTTGTCGGTGGTTTTGTTTGTTTCAAGTTCACTTCACAAACTGAATGCTACTTACCAGCTTTATGGATTTTATACCACAATGGAAGACTAGCAACGATGCCAATCAACCAGTATCGGGTCAACCAACTGTTTTTCAAGTAAAACTTGTATGGAAACTGAGCAATCTTGGCACTGAAAGTGTATGGATATTTCATTGGCCGTCCTGGCTCGGCTGCTTTTGCTGCATCAGACATTTTGCTCGGTTTTTTTCTCACAAGTTTTAATTACCTATTGATGAAAAATTCAATAAAAAGATTCGCTTAAATTCAATCAATTAAAAAATGTGTGCAAATCAGTGTGAATCAACTAGAAAAAAAAACGAAAATTATCACGTCTTTACCTTAGAAAAATCGAAATGTTATGCAATTTTTTTTAGCTGTCGCTCGATGAACCAAATGACAAGAAGTTCCATTGGCATGAAGTTGACTGTAGTGTTGCACGATACTTGCGGTAAAAGTATTACCGTTGATCGAAATGTAGGAAAATTCAGATGTTCTATATCGTTCAGAAGCGATGTAAAATCATTTAAATTCATTTTATACATGGAAACTTGAATGATTTCACCGCAAGTTAAATTTAAAGGGCAATTCTCGAAAATGTCATGAAAACAACGATGAATTCTATCGATTTTAACATTTGAAATGCGTTGATATTTTTCCCTCTTCTCTTCAATTTTTTGTTTTCGTTTCCAACAATTTGAAGGAAAACGGCATGCTTCCAATGGTAAAATCAATTGACAATGTTCAACCAACTTAATGTCAATGAAAAAAAAATTGTAGTACTTTTCAGCGCATGATAGCCATTTTATGCATTCATATGCTTGCAATTCCATATAGCCATAAATCCCTGTGTACTGTGTACGGCAGAGAAAACAATTTGCCTGCTTGCCTGTCAGACAAGCACATGTTGAATAAGTGAGTTTCAAAGAAATAGAGGTAGATTCTCGGTTCATCAAAAGAGAGACGAAAAAAGAAAAGGAAACAAAAACCAATACAGTTTCGTTTCATTAGACGACTTTTACACCAATACAGCCAGAGAGCATCAATCATCACGTACACGTACACGTACACGAGAAAGACAGAGAAAGAAAAACAAGAAGCAAATCTAAAGAGTTTTTACTTAAAAGAATTTATGTGTTCGGCTCTTTGGCACGCTGCACGAATATATCTCAACACACTCATCTGTGAGTGAAAAAGTGTTCGCTCTATCTTTTTCTATCGCCTAAAAAGCAACAAAAACTACCGAAAGTGTAATAGAGCCAACCGATTTCACTAGTCGCACCAAACTGAGTATCACAATGGATGAGAGCAAACGAAATAGTATGAAATTGGATATTGAGGCGGTACGTTTGTCTGAAAACGATCACGATCAACCGACCGAAGTGTACAAGCAATCATCTGAGTTCGATTCCAACGATAAATCAACTGGTGAGTAGCATTTTAGTTTCGTAGGCGCGTTCTATACAGAGAATTAAGTGAAACAATTGTCCCGCATCTTTACTTATCATAATTATTGCTTACTGTTCCGAAGAAGAAAAAAATGGAAAATTGGAGCGTTGAAAATGTATTTTTTTCTCTGTAAAACCGTGATAGAACAGTTTTTTTATTTCCACGAATAATTGGATGCGATTGCCACGAATTCACATTGTTTCATTCTTCATTCGGCTGACATCACACTTTTTTGCACGTTGAAAAAGCATGATGAAATCGTTCAAACGATTTCAAATAGTTCAATTGCCCTTTGTCAATGATTGCACGTTTTCAAGGGTTAGGCGTTGCCTGGATTTTATTGTCAAGTTTATGTTATAATTTTTTTTTTAAATAATAAGCATTGACCCATTTTGAGATGAAAAAATGTCAGCATTTTGTATCGAAATATTGTCATTTGCATTGGACAAAATTGATGCTTGTCCGAACACACATTTTTATTCACGTATAACGAAAAATTCGCAAAAATGTGAAGTTCAACTCGTACTCAATGATAACCACAGACACTTTATTCTCGCTCCGACAATCTACGTGGACTTTAAGTAGTTTGCATTCGATAATGAGCCCAAAGTGGAAAATGAAATTCGCAAATAAGCAAAAAAAAGACGAAATACAAGTATATTCAGTGCCATGGATTCAATAGTGCGTTATATGTGTAAAGCGTGTATTAAGAGCTCAGAGATAACAGGGTGATGACACGAAATAAGAGAGAAAAAGAGACGGAAATTAATGCACAATCTAAGTACTTTGACATGATGCGAAGTTGAGCCTACGAAAGATCGAAGTCTTCTGTGATTCGATGTGGTCAGAAATAAACACATACTCTATATTTTGCTTATCGTTCAATTGTGTCCCGTCAATCACACTCCAAACGTGTATAAATGTATTTGAAAGGCGATGAAACAATGTGACTCTTGTCGTTCGCTAGTCTAGGCTTCACATGAACGAAAAAAGGATGGCACTTAATCTAAATCAATTTGTCCATTCATGAAAATTGAAGTAAATTAGATTTGAAGAAATTACTCGATACACTTCGACATAAGTGGCAAATAAAGAAGTCTGAAAGGCGTTGTCGTTACTGAACGACACATTATTGCATTTAGCATTGAAACGAACAGTTTCAATCTTGCGAACGCAGACATCAAAGGTGTACATTATCCCAAAGAAGGAAATTTTTCGTTATTTTCTTGATAGTTTTTTCAGTATTGATTTGGAAAAACAAAAAACAAAAAATGAATTACTTTCATAGCAAATTTTATTTTCCTTAGAACAACCAGCAACAATAATGACGCGTGAGAAGAGCGATAGCATCGAGGATGGTGCCGACGAGAAGATGCTGAGTGTCGATGAAAAAGAGCAATTGGCAAGGAAAGATGAGGTGAAGTTCATCGCCAGCGATCGTTCAAACGGTGATGCCAAGATTGATATTGGCAACATTGAAAAGGTAAGCCACATGTTTACTATCATCATCAACATCATCACATGCGGGACGCTAATTAATCCAATTTCAATGACTGTATTTCTCTCTTTCTTTTCGTTTAAACAGTCTAAATTCCGTTAAACCAGATGCTAATTCATTATTTTTTGTCGCATGTTATAGTTGTAATAAGTTTCAATTTAAAATAGATTATTGAGTCACGAAATCACATTCCGTTTTGGAATAATATTTGAAATGTTGTCCAGAATGAAGATTCAGTTTTTGTTTCGTGCTCAAACTGAACACTTCGATTTCGATTGGGATTCAAAAGTTAAAACGTAGTTTTCATAATCGTCATCAAAATGGTAGTTAATTTCAAGACTTATATAAAGTGATGTTACATTGGAAAAATTCCTTTTTTGCAGGCATTCAGTGGAATGACAAAAGAAGAATTGATGAAATTTGCCAATGATCCATTCTGGCAACGCTTGCGTTGGACATTCTTCATTCTCTTCTGGTTGCTATGGGCAGCCATGTTGGCCGCTGCCATTTGGATCATCTTGAAAGCACCAAAATGTTCAGTCGCTAAACCATTACCATGGTAATTTTTTGTTTCCTCTTCAATTTCAACAGTTTTTCTTTGTATCTTCATTGAAATTGTCGATTGTTTGTCAGAAGAATTGAAAGAAAAAAATTTAAAAAAATCAATTGAAATTACATTCATTCATAGGTACAAAGAGGGACCACTTGTTGTAATGCCAAAAAATATTGCCACTCAAGCGGATCAGCATTTAATTGAAAAGTTGCAATCGATCGATGCCAAGGGTGTGATTTATCAATTGCCAGCCGATCAAACTTATCAAGTCGATACGGAACGAGTCGAAGAATATGTTATGGGAATTGTGAATGGTTTCAAAAATACCACCATCAAAGTCATTCTCGATTTGACACCAAACTATGTGACCACCGAGGATGAACTGTACAAATTGGCATTAGAGAATGAAAGCTATCGCAGTGCATTTGTTTGGTTAGAGCGAACTCGTATTCCAAATAACTGGCTATCGAAGGTGGCAAACACACAACAAGAGGGTAAAGCGTGGAAATTGGTGAAGACCAATCACTATGTACTCAGCCAATTTGGTGAAAATAATATCGATTTGCAATTGAATGATACGATTGCAAAAGAGAAATTCAAGAATGTATTGCGTAAGCTGGTTCGTTTGGGTGTCAGTGGATTCCGATTGGCCAATGCCAAACACTATATCATTGATAAGAATATTCCAGAAGATCAATCAGTGTCCCCCAACCCAAAAGGTGGTGTGCACACCGATTACGATTTCTGGACGCATACCGGCACCACAAATCGCCCAGGTATCGGTGCTTTGCTCAACGAATTCTGGCATGTGGTCAATAATGAAACGAACGGCAATGGTTTCTTGTCAGTCACCGATTACATCGATCATCCGGAAGTGTTCACCATTAACGATAAAACCATTGGCTTCGATTTGCCAATCATCGTGAATTTAACATCAACATTGTCAAATGATAGTTCGAACATTGCAAAGAGACTGAGCGATCGATTGTCTACATTGAACACCGTCGACAGAGACGTTTGGTTGCAATGGCCATACGAGACGTCGGCTGAAAACAATCTGAAAATCGGCACCAGCGAATACAATATTTTCCTATTTCTGTTGCCGGGCGTCCCAGTTGGCACACTTAATGACTTCCTCAGCGGCAATGCCACCGCCGAAATCAAGAAGTTGGAAGATTATCGCAAACAACCGACGTATCAACACGGCAGCTTTGAGGTATACAAGGCTAACAACGATACTGTCATCGCCTACTCCAGGTATACAATATTTGATTTTATGTTAATTGCCAAACTAAATAATCGCACATCACAAAAAATCACTCACATTATTCACACTATTAACACAAAACTCTTAATTATTCGTTTCATCTTGCTATCCTAACATCATTTGCACATATTACTAACATACCTAATTCATTTAACATGCTGCAGATACAGACTTTCAGGGTAAGCTAACACAATTCTGCTCTCATTTGTGAATCAAATGCTGTATTTTCCATTCAAATAACAATAACAACCATTGCTATTTACTATTAGCAATAGCCTATTGCTGAATACAGTTTGAAAAAATCTAGTTCCAAAAATATTGGAGATGGCTGAAATTCAAATAGAAAAATATCTCCTGTTTAATTCTTTATCTAATCCATACTAAATTTCTCATTTTCAGACTAAAATCTGGAAATCCAGGATTCTTTGTCGTCTATAATCCAACAGCCGCCAATATCACCGCAGATTTTTCATTCGTGCGCAGTTTGCCGGAGCAACTGACTGTGGAATTGGCCAGCAAACCATATGAAAATAACGTGGTTAAGGTTCCAACCAACGCCATTCCATTGAAAAGCAATTCAACTGTTCTTTTCACCTATGCACCAAAATCAACGGCATAAATAGTTTCAAACCATTCTCCGGACGGACGGTTTGCACAGCAACTTTGGTGAATCGTCAAATTTTTGAAGAATAACAGATGCAAAAAAATAATCAGTAGAAAAAATACAATGAAAATTGTATGCAAATAGAATTGCAAAGTTTGTTGCTTACAAATTGCTTTTTTTCTGTAGTTATCTACATAAAAAAAAATTAATTTATTGCATTTTCGATGTCGTATTGTATGGAGAAAGAAAAGAACAAGATGAGAAGAAAAAAACAAAGCAAATTTATGTGTGGTTCAATCAAATAAAGAATAAATTTAGATTCTGTTCATTGCATCAAAACTATTTGGTTGTTTCATTCAAAGCATTTTAACGGTTGCTATGTGTTTGTATGTATGTACGTAAGAATGCGGAGATGTCATAGATTTTGGTTGCTTGTGACAGTGGTTAAGCATAACCTCAATCGATTTTGGCTATTGAGCGTACGCAGTTGAAGAATGGTCAACACGCAATTGCGAGTGATGGAAATTCGATTCGAAGCAAATAGCAAAAATCAATAAAGAAAAATCTTAGCAAAAAGGGAAATATATTGAGAGTGCACTTGAAGTGTGTGTGTGCGTATATAATGGAATGTCTTGTTACTGGTAAAATAGCACAACGATTTGTCGGGCTGCTGTTGAAACGCAGCGATTGCTCAAAAAGCCAAACACTTCGCTTTACCACCACTCTCGGTCGATGTGATGATGATGAAAGAGACAACAATAAGCTCACTGCACACGAAGGTCACCACACCACAAACCGAATTTATCAGCCGTCTTGTGAGAGACTTGTTTTTTCTACATCAACAACAACAGTAGTAGTAGCAGCAGCAACATATAGACCTGTTTACCCGCATCTCATTCACTGGAACAATCATTCGACGAATCAACAACCAAGATTTGCACGTCACAATCGTTTCTATTGCACAGCAAAAACAATACGCAAGAAAATGGTAAGATTATTACAAAGAAAAAAATTCTTTTTAAATTCGTTTTTTCACCCAAAAAATGTAGAGTATTCTGGGTTCATATTGTATTTGAAGGAAATAAATCGTGTCAAAGTTTCATAAGTGTTGAAATATTGCTTTGTTAATGACTTTGACTGACAACTGTTGATATGTGTGTTTTTGCTGGTTTAATACATTGATTTTTTTTTTATCTCATTCTACTTCGATTCCATTACTAGGGCAAGTTAAGTGATGCAGAACGTAAAGAATTGTTAGAGCCATTGCTTGCCAAAGGATGGACTTTGGTGAATGGTCGTGATGCCATTTACAAAGAATTCCTATTCAAAGACTTTAACCAGGTAAATGGGATTGATGATAAAAATTGGAGATTGGGTTGTTATCAGTAAATTTCAAGTGATTTCATTCGAATTGTAATTTTTTTTCTCTAGGCCTTTGGCTTTATGACTCGCATTGCATTGTATGCGGATAAGGTTGACCATCATCCGGAATGGTTTAATGTGTACAACAAGGTGCAAATAACACTCTCATCTCACGATGTGAACGGATTGAGCAAAAGAGACATCAATGAAGCTACTTTTATTGAAAGTATTGCCTAATCGGCCAGAACATACAACTCGGAAGACAATAAAATTCAAAACGGATTCGGATTTAGTGATTTCTTTTTTTTTTCTCTGTTAATGTTCGATGGAATTTGTTGCATGTTAAATCGCTGACAAAACAAAAAAATACAGGAATCTTAAATTAAAATGCAGTCTCCATGATGATGTTTGATTTTAATCGTGTATATTACCTGCTATTTTAAAAGAACCAGGTTTTTTTTTTACTGAGAAGAGAGTTAAAAAATATTGTAATAATTATTGTTTTTCCGTTCACATATACCCTACTAAAAATTCCAAAAGACTGATTTGCTTTGGAATTTGTGATCGTTTCAAATAACCTTTTCAGCGGACACGCCGTCTTTTCCTCTTTGTTCCACACCGCGCGCAGTGTTTGCTTTACATCAATAATGATCAATATTATTGGTTGCCTGTTGCGGCAACGGCATCGCGGAAATCTTCCCAAGACCAAAGTCTTGCAGACCGTTCACCATATTTTTTTTGTATTACGTTTTCAAATTTGTAAATAAAGTAACCTAATGCGATGTTGTGAATACAAAGCAATGTTTTGATTTTGTAAAAGAAATTAACATTAAATTGACTTTGTAAAATTTTTATTCTGTTTTCAAATTTAAACACATTCCAGCTGCACACGATTAGTGAACAAGGAACTGTCGTCTATAACAAATAACCGCCGTTGTTGTATGAGAGAATGTTTGGTGTGTGAAAAGCTGTCAAAAGTGTCAGCACTGTAAACGAAATGAAGTTGACTGCGCTCGAAATTCATGATCCGATTGCATTGTTTTTGGATAAGTTTGAGATGGTCAATCGAATGGTTCAATGTTTACAACAAAATGCCACTAACGCTTTCATCCCACGATGTGAACGGATTGAACAACAGAGACATCAATACAGCTTCCCTCATTGAGAGTGTAGCCTAATCGTCCAAAACATGCAACTCGAAAGACAATAAAATGCACAACGGATTCGGATTTTGTGATTTCTTATTTTTTTTTCTCTGTTAATCTTCAATGGAATTCGTTACAGAATTGTATGTTAAATCGGTGTGAAAAGAACAAACAAAACAAAAATACAGGAATCTTAAATTAAGATGCAGTCTCAACGGTGATGTTTGTTTTCTAAAGAAGTGATTTGCTTAGGATTTGGTATCCGGAATTTTCAGCAGCATCAGGTGATGTGTCGTCGACTCCAAAACCGAGTCCCTTGAAAAATGTAATGCCTGCTTCGTTGTTCGACAGCACGGTGAGGATCAGCTTCTCCATTTGGTAGTGACGTGCCATTTTCTCCAATGCATTCATGATGAATCGACCGAGCCCCTTTCGCTGATACTCTTTTTCCACTTGCATTTCATAGCTACACAAATCGAAAAATTGCAATCAATTGATGAGGTACAATTTTAAGATGGATATCGATTTGAATGCTTACCAATAAAGTACACTGTTGCCGTAGTCCATGTCAAATCGGAACATTGCATATGCGATGGGATTTTTCTGTTTGTCCGTGGCAACCAAGTAGCGAGCCCAGTTTTTGTTCAAATCGCTTTGCTTGACTTTTGGTTGCCATCCGATTGGGCCAGTTTTGTAGAACGGTGAAACATTTCGTTCGGCCAATTTGAATGCCCATTTCAATGTTTTCGAATCCATATCATTTTTCCATTTGCAATAAATGTTCACCTCAAAATCACCATTTGTATACTTTGAGAATTCACTTGAGAATGGTTCCAATGGATTTTTCACTTTAGCCGCTTTTTCGATACTTCGGTGCTGATTGGTCACTGTCGATGTTAATCCCGTCATTTTGATTTCTATTCTGATTTATCAAAATTCTGAATTTATTTTTTTTTCAATTTTTCGTTTTAAAATTCAAACTAATTCAAGCTGAACGCGTTTAGTCAACACTGACCGTCAATGGAACAGAATTGTTGTATGGACGAATGTTTGGCGCGTAAACGTACAAACATGTCATTGCTGTCAAAATTTCGATCAACTGGCGAACTCTGTTGATGACTTTGGGAGACACGATCACACGTTTTGTGTGAACTTTGTGCTTTTCAATTCGAATTTCTTATGCATTACATTTGGTTGAAATGTGATATTTTAAAATATGACGAACACAAACAAACGAGAGAAAAAATCGAAAGTAAATTAAGTGGAGCTGCTTGCTGCTGAAGACTGCTGAGGTCAAAGTAAGCAAAATGGAATGTTAGAATGGATACGAAAAAGAAAAAGCAGATCGATTGTATAACAATGAAAAGAATCGGAGTACTACACTCTGATCTCTCACTTTGTACAAATGGACGAGAACAAGAAGTAAATTGCCTCGATATCCTTGGCCTTTTCAGTGTAATGTACGTGCGATCATGTTCGATTGAGAAGATGCAAATTGCAATATATGTATAAAATGCAGTTGCATCAAGACAATGAACTCAATGGATGTACGTACGTGCGCGTGCGATCGATGGTCCGTTGGCGGAAAACTAGCCAGCAATTTCTGCCTCTTCTTTCAAAATGCCTCCAAACTACGCTCTTAAATCACTCCATTTTTGGTGGCGACGCATAGAGAAGAATTGAAACCTTAATTGAGAAATTATAGCGTTTTTTCCTCTTCATTGCTTCATTTATTGCATACTTGTCTCGTATTTATTTCAACTGTATAATTACAGCGTTAAGGGCATATTGCATTGCAAATTTGATCAAAAAGTGACTTTCGTTTTTCGTTCCTTATCTGTTGTCTTGAGTTTTGTTGTCGTGAACACAATAATTCATCACGACAATTTGACGATGCGAACGGATGGAATGAAAAACATTTTAACAAATTAATGCGATTCCAAAGTGGTCGATTACACTAATTATTTATCGGAATGTGCAATAAGTTATATATATTTTAAATCTTAACTTGAATCAATTTGAGTTTCATTCGGAATTACCGATCGCGTTTTATCTACCTGGCATTGGCTGGACTCTGAACGATCAGCGTGCGATTCGATGTGCATTTGCATCGTATATTTATACGATTTTAATCACTGCGACTCAAACATCAAAATGAACAATGTGGATGTGCAATTGAAATGTATACATCGTCAACGTTCGAGGAGAAACTTGATCTACTTTAGGTTTAGATTTTCCATTTGAATCAGAACAGAAAAAAGAAAACGAATACTGGTTTGGTTTTGCTATATACATATGTTTTTCATGGCATTATGCAACGGTCTTATGAAGATGCGGCACGCTCTGATTCAAATCCAGAGTCAAACAAAACCAGAGACACAACGTTTAGACAAATTTTAATAGTTAATTTGCGGTTAGCCACATCGTATATCGATTGAAAGTCAAAGTGATCGGTGTTACATGGTGCCACTGATCTGTTTACATGTCAACTCATACAAAACTTGGAGGCAATTTTGTGTGTGATGCTCGAGTCGGCCCAGCACATAGAATTCCATCTTAAAACCTAGATTCGACTGAATGAGCGCTTATGCCTGTGCTTGCGCGTCGATTGTGCGTGTTTGTTTGTCCTTGCCGATTAGCACAACTGAATGATGGGTGAATCACTGCGGTTGCATACCATATTTTCCCCATTGTATGATTCGACAGCGTTGTGTCTCGTTTGAAACATGAATTACAAGTTTTTAGCTAATCATCTACTCTAATTAGCCTTCCAGAAAGCCGAGAGAAAAAAAAGCATTCATTTGTATATGCGACTGAAAACAAGCGGCATTACGATTTTTTTAAAAAATAAAACGTAAGAATATAAAATACTAAGCCTTTTCCACATAACTCATTTTCATCCATGACAGAAAGAGTGTGACAACATGTAAATTGACAACATCCCAAACATATTACAATATAATTAACGCCATATTCAATCGACAAACAAATACAGAAAGAAATAATTAAATAAGAAAAAAACAGATAATCGCGTCAAACAAAACGTATTAGTTACACTGCATTGTTGCGTCGCTCGTTTGGGGTAACAATTCAACAATATAATTTACATGAACGTGGAATGCGGTATCATTGCGTTTGTTGCTTCTATCTTGGTGATTGTGTGTGTGTTTTTTCTATATATAAACTGTTTTTTTTTTCATTTAAAATACACAATTTATCGGACTGAATTTGTAATTTGAATAATTCAGGAGGTTTTGATTACAATCTAATGCCAATATTATATTCTAGATCATAATTGAATGAGGAAAACCCCAACACGTATTTATGCGATAGAGATAGCAACAATCACACCGAGATTAGCCGAATGATTTGTTGATTTTTTTTTGTTTCTGTTTCGTTGTTTACGATTCTTGTGTTTTGTATGTGCTTGGGTTTTGGATTAAAAATAACAAATCGAATAGAAAAAGAAGCGCTGATTGGAATATTTACAACAAAAGCCGAAATTCTGTATTGATACATTTGGCTATTGGCAATAAGATACGACTTCGTTGTTGTTTATGGCACACAACCATATGATGCGCGGCCAAGAATTACGCACAATGCGCGCACGCAGCCAAAAACTGTCGCCATCGCCATCGTAATACGGTTTTCGACTCACGAATTATTTATGTGCTATGATTTGTGAGTGGTGATGGTCACTCTGTCGATCGGCTTTAAATAACAATAATTATACTTATTTGTTGCTTCGTCACCTATATTGAAGCGCGCTCGCGAGCACCCATACAAACGCATCAATCTTACACGATCGAACTAAGAAGAAGAAGAAGTAGTAGTGGAAAAAAAGGTCTTTTACAAAAGTCCATCTACGTAATGTTTATTATCTGCGCGTCATGTGTGTATGCAGATTGCATTCGGATTGTAGTTACTCTTCTCGCCAACTTAATCTATATATGGTGGGCCGTGTATATATCATGTGTTATCCAGATCTAGTTTCGCGTCTTGTAAAAAACAATTGAGCACACGCCAGCCGTTCGCCAGCCGTCGATGTCGTCGTCGTCGTTGTCGCATTACTTTGGAAAAGAGAATGGCTAACATCTATATAAAGGTTCCACAAGTAAGGATGATCTGATTAAGTGTTTGCAGCTTAAACATATTATATCAATTCCGACGTGCTCTCCATCCGTTGTCACCAAAAATATTAAAAAAAAAAAAAACAAAATAAAGTGCGTAATTTCGCATATCGAATCCATTGGTTTCTCTCTCTCTCTGCTTCAGTTCAATCAAATCGATGTTAATTCTAATTGAAGCATTTGTCATTCTAATTTTCTTAGAATTGCCAATAATTAACATTTCTAATTGAATTATTCGATTTTTTTTTTCAAATTCTTTTGCGTGTTTCATTTTTTTCTATTGCATTTTGATTTGAGTCGTTTTTTTTCTGTTTTCATTTCGGATTAGATGAAAGTGTTGTTTGTGATTTCGGCCATAGTGTCGATTGCTAGTGCTGGTGTTGGGCCCATCGTGATCATACCGTCATCATCGCAACTGTTACGATCTCAACATCCTGATTCGGCTATTGTTCAATCGGAACAATTAGGTGGAAATTTTGCCTATGCCATTGCTGAAGGACAATCGTTTCGAACAGTTCCAAGTCTCCTAGTTAGTGTAACTGCGACCTATTCTAAAGCTTCACGAAAACATTTAAACGAAAATTAATTTGTGTGTGTGTTTTTTGTTGTTGTTTTTCATTCTTTAAACACAGAACCTTCGTGCTATCGATGATCTGGGTGTTTCATATGCACTTAGTCCATTCCCGATCTTGACTGCCCCAACCTATGTGCTTCGACAACCAACATCAGAAGAAGAACAACGTAGGCAATTCGCAATGTTGTTGTATTCATTTCGAACTTGTTTTTAATTATTGCAATAATTTTTCGATTGACTTGCAGGTGAACAGCAAAAAGCAAAGGATTTATTGCAAAAACAAAGAGACGAATTGCAGGAAGCTTTAGATCGACAACGTGAAGACGATGAAAGGCAATTGCAAGAACAGATCGATCAACAGAATCTTCTCAACCAGCAAGCCTTGGAACAACAAAAAGAATTGATCCAATTACAACAGCAATGGCAGGAACAACAAAATTTAGTTGCTACCGGTGGTGTGATCGTACAAGGAGGTGTTGTTGTCCCAGTACCAGTTGCAATTCCAGTAAACAACAACGATAATAATAATAGCAACGGCAATAAAGACAACGATAACAGCAACAACGAGAACAACAACAACAACAATATTCCATCGGATCCCAACAGCACGGATGACACCGTGGTCATTGAAAATACATCGCTTACGAAAGAGCAAAGCGCCAATGACAATAATCAATCGGAAGATCAGCCAGCAGAAGAAGGGCAAACAGATAGACAAGCGGAGAATAATTCCGATTCAGACAATAACTAATTAAATTATCAAACGAAGCAACAACAGCAACCACTACAATAACTGCATCAATGACAATGTATTGTAGCATAATGCATGATCGTTTGATTCCATTGCGGCTTTGAAATGAAAGGCTTCGACCGAACAACACCTAAATGTTTCTATCTATATGTTTGCTTTTTGTTTCTTTTCCACTGCAAATCGAAAAAAAAAATCAACAAACTGAAATCCAAACCATTTTTGAAGCACACCAATAAACAAAATGTGTTTTGTACGAAATTCATTGACTTTACCATGAGCAATTTCATTAGTATGCAATTGTTGATGTCAGTCTCTTATAGCCATCTACTGTATGTGATTGTTTTTTCTTTTTCTTCTTCTTCTTTGGTTTCTTTTCATTTTTTTCTCTCTCGTTAATGTAAAATGCGTCATAACATTAGTTTGAATTAATGACTCTTTATCCGTTTGAGTGCGTTTGTTCTTGTCCGCCTCAACGAGTAAAAGTGTGCCTTCGACGCAATGGCGCGCGCTCCAACCGAACGGTAATTCTTTATGCTATCAATATTGATGCATTATTATTATTATTGAAACACCATAACACTTCCAATTTGTGTGAATCTATTTATTTCTTTCAAAAATTGTTGATATAAAAAAATCTGCATGAAATTCTAATACAAAGCATTTAAAAATAAATTCAAAATCAAGCTTAAATGTATTCGGTTGTACGGATTTCGCATCTAAAAAACAGAATTCGAGTTGAGTTGAATTGATTTGGTGTGTTATGGTTCACCGAGACTTTATTGAGTTGAAAATAATAAACGCTTCCGAAAACAAAAATTTGGCAATAATAAAAGTCAATGATTGAATCGAATTTCTATGCTTATCTTAAACGAATTTTAAACTTATCGTCCAATTTCATCGTTGCGAAGCTTTGCCTTTGTTGCTCGTAATAATCCGCTGGAAAATCGAAATGCTCACGAAGTGTTTGGCGCACAATATAAATATATTATTATCTGTAGTTTCTTATCAGCTGATTTATAGTTTGACGCGACAATTTTCCGCATTTAAGCTTTCGAATTGTTCTGTCGGCTACTTACGAAGCCACTCCCTTGTTGTAATCCACCACCTGACGACGATGATGATGTTTGTGACACAGATGCCGACGAAGATGAGCTTCGGAAGCTTTCTTGGTTTTTGAAAGCGGATGCACCATTTCCATTACTTTTTCCATTGTCGCCGCTTGCAGATGCAAGACCGGCGACTGTCGAACCCGCCGTATTTGCTGCACCTGAATCACTGGAACTCGATGCTTGACCATATCTACTGACCGATGCATTCGACGCGATTCCACGTAGTCGTGCATCATTTACACCACCACGATTGCCATTCACACCTCGATTACCATTTACACCTCCTCCATACACTGCATTGTTACTAGCGGCAGTTTTAAAACCTCCATTATTCAGATCATCATTTCCGCTTGCATCATAACCACTATTACTGATTCCGTTGTCACCATAAATGCCAGCCGCGTTATTTACGGCACTGCCTCCGAGACTCACACCGTTTTCTCGATCAAAATAAACCGCATTTCGATTAGCACCGGCAACCGATCCACCATCTCCAAATGCAGACTGAGGCTCCACTACGCCGGGTAAGCCTATAAAGAAAAAACAAACAAAGGGAACAGTATTAGTGAAAGTAAATAAATAAAGCGGCTATGCTTGAGATTTCTATTTAAATAAAATTTTGCGCAAATTTTTCGCATTTTAACATAAACGGAATCGAAAAACTCTTTCAATAAAAACGAATATATATATATATATATACCTGCTACTGTTCTGGGTCCTCCTAATTCAGATCCAATTGGTCCTCCTAATCCAGATCCAATTGGTGCTCCTGATCCAGATCCAAATGGTCCTCCTAATCTAGATCCAATTGATGCTTCTACTCCAGGTGCAACTGCAGCAGGGCCACCTCCTGTTGCCACGTTGGATTGATCAATTGATCCTCCTACATTAGGTGCACCGATTCCATATACACCAGGTGCATCGATTCCGGGTGCACCAAATGTGCCTGATGCCGCATCAACACCAACCGGTTGTCCCTTTTCATTCACTTTGGTCGGTGGTACACCTCCGAATGCTGTGTATGGTGTTTGTGGCAGGACACCAAAGTGTGGCAAATAAGCTGCTTGTGGATATCCACCGAATTGATCGTAAATCAGTGGATATGAATTGTACGAGAATGGTGCAAGATTCACGGGATTTTTGCCAGATGAAATCGGAATTAAACTGGGTGGAAAACCGAATTCGTTCAATGGAATTGGTGATTTTTCCGTACTTGCAGCTTGAACAATGGTACCGTCTTCCTTACTTCCGCCGACGCTTCTTGAAACACTATCCTCAACACCGGCCGCCGTGGCTGAAGCAACAGCACCACCAACAGCACTAGTACCGCTCACATTGATCGTTCCGTCTGCATTGTATTTTGGAACGTATGCAGCCGATTCAAATGGATTGAAACCGAACGGATCGTAGTAGCTATACGGAGTGTATCCGTATGGTCCATAGAAAAATGGGTCATGAATGGCTGGCTGAATGACGGGATAGGCACGGCTTGGCGTCAAATTTTGATCGGTAGTTATCAGAGCATTGTAGACTTTTGGTGTTCGCAACAATGCAGCCGATTCACATTCAAAAAATGCGACCACGAGAATGATAATCTGAAACGACGAAACAAAAGTCATTCAATTAGATGTATTCCGTGGCAATTGTCTTTGACCTGGAATACTGCTAAATAGTACAGGCAGAAATGGAACCATTTTTTTTTCTTCAAACTGTTGAAAAAAAATTGGATCGCAAAATATAGTAGAGACATACACGAGGAGAGCAAACGAAAAGCTAAAAGAGGCTTACAACACACACACACACACACACAGATCATCGTTGAAATTGCGCGAAAGTAAAAGATTTCTACTTTTCTATTCTCCATTGACATGACACGAAATTGAGTTAATAATAAAAAAAGGCATTCAGAAATTCTACAGTAAATTTCAATTGAGAGATTTATGTAGACGCGCAATCGTGTCAAAGTATGTGGGTAGAGCAGCACAGTCATTTTCTTGTTTACACCTTGTTGGCTTTTGTTTAAGTATTTGATGTGGTATTCTTATTTTCTCTCATCGTGTGGTTTATTGGCGTGACAATCAGCATAAGTACATGAGCGTGTGCGCGCGCGCGCTCCAGCGCAATGTTTATGCACAGCATCGACGGCGGCGATGATGACTACAACGACGACGGCGAAGACAACGACAACGGCAACGGCGACTGTGCAAATATTTATTTATCTCGCTCGGTAGAGTTCAACTCATTCGATTCCAGACGAATCGAATAAAAAATGGGTCGCTGTACAACGACGGCAAGCAGCATTATCATTAACCAGTTCTGGTTGAGTGTGGTTCGGTGTCAGAGTTGTAGGTGTCAGAAAGTCGATGGAAGAAAAAAAAAATTACGGAAAATTTGCAAGAAGATATTCAATTCTATTGTGTTGTTCACATGAACCAGACAACTAGTTCTATCTGTCTGCGTGTGTAAAGGGCAGAAATAAAACCTATCAGTACCGTTATTCGCATGTACGTTTTTGTTGTTATTATTATTGTTGTTGTTCACGTGTTTGCTCCATCTCGGCGCAATTCTAAACGCTTTTGATTTACTTATTTACAATAAAAAGAATATGAAATAGAAAAATGATGTTTCACTGATCCACATTTCAATTGCTTCTCTTTTCAAATGATTGTCTGTTTTTGGAGTAACGCGATTTTCGTGTTTTGTGTGTGTGTCTTTTGTGGTTGTTTTTTTTGGCAATGCGAAAATCACGACTGAAAACTGAAAACTGAAAACACAAAGCATGACTTGAGATCTAGATCACGTAGATCATGTACTCTTACCAAACTTTTAGTTTCTATTTGCAATGCAACGCGCGCGCGCGCCTCAATACTGAATGAGAATACGACGTTGATGATGATGATTGGGATCGGTGTGCTTAACCGCCTGACATATTTGCCGAATTGTTTTCTTTCTCGTTCATTTTATTGCTTTGTTCATGCTATGCACCAACTATTGCTAACTCTGAACGATTTCATTTCGTATGGTTTTCTTTGAATTAATTACAAACCGACGTATATTGTACAGCTGCTTGTTGTTTATTCGTTGCATTTAAAAGGGCCTTCAGAACTGAATTTTACGTGGAAATTTCGTTTGTAATATTTGCCGTATTTTTTGTGTGTTTTCTTATTTTTCAACAGCAGCCACATTAGCTCACACTCTGTGCTCTTTCGCAGCACCAGAGGTCTGTGTGCTGTACAGCGGCCGCCACCACCGCCGCTGTTATTCTCTGTCTCTCGTTCGTACATCATTTTAAAAAGCTGCTACATATAATATTGAAGTAGCTAATGTGCTATAAGCATATCATATTTGCGATTCTTTGGTGTGGCTTTTAAAGATCGAAACTCATGTTTACAATCATGTGAATTAAGCGATGTGGTAAATCACTTAAAGTTTGTTGTTATTCTTGGCAAGTCCATGAAATGATTTTCATTTGACTGATTGCAGTTAAATCAACGAAGAAAAAACAAGAAACACACACACGCGCGCTTTGTTTCTTTGTTCTTATAGTCTGCAGCTCAAACGCTGGCGGTTTTCGAATTAAAAATAAAATTGGCGCACTTTCATAGACAACTATACTTCTAGTGATATAATATGAGTTATTTGAGTCATACGGTTGAATGCTGTGCGACTTAACTCAACTCGGTGTGTATGTGTGTAATAACAACACAACATGATTTTAAGTCAACGCGAATAGAAACGAGCACATAAACAAAACAAAAAGATACATACAAATTGCATTCGATTGGTACATTTTTCGTTTCTTAGATTGCAGAATATGCAGAATGTGCGCATTTGACGCTGCATACTGGTTGCTGCACTCGTGTGCCCGCTGCCAATGTAGACATTTTCGGTTGGCTGTCGATTTTTCTATTTTTTTTTTTTTGTTATTTCACACGATGATTTGCAGCCGTAGATAAAGTAATTTTAATAAATACCTATGTTTTTACAACTTGTTCATTATTTATTTTATTTTCGGTTTCTATCTTTCGTTGCTACATGTTTTCTTCGTTCGTGTCTTTTTGAAATTGCAGCCGCGTGGTACTTGGATTTAATCAAATAAATGTTAACATTTCATCAGTGATTCAGACGAACATCAACAACAAAAACCAAACAGTGTGCTAAACTTTAAATACGCCAATTCGAATTTGTTTACAGATAATGATCAGAATTTAATAAGCTTTAATTAATTTGTAATTATTTCAAATGGATTACTGAATTGTTTAATCACGTTGATTGTTTCGAATAACAAAAATTATGTGATTTTCATTCTGTGGTTTCACGACGATTTATCAAATAATCACTTATGTATGGCTAAAGTGATCGAAACGAGATCATCACATCGTAAATATTCGTTCGTTTCGTGTGGCATTTTTCCATGAATTTCGATACTACCGCCCGTGACCACGGATAGCTCAATGAAAATATGCAAAAATCTCAAAATATTTACCTGCAAATTAGTTCTGACATTCATCTCCTTGGTTGAATGGAAAATCGTTTTCAAATTTTTTGATGAGTTTTTGCTTTTTTTAGATTCACTGGCAGAACGAACCACCAAATAGACAAACTGCAAACAGAACAAAAGAAGAAGAAGAAGAAGAGAAAAACAATAAAACTTGCATATTATTTCACCTTCGATCAAAACGAAATTCCGGTTGATGCTTAATCACAGTTTTGCATTTTAACAGTAAAAACACTTGAGTTCTGACTAATTGCACGAATCAGCTCATTCTCTCGCTCTACTAGTACGTGCTTTGGATACGGAAAACAGCGCGTTTAAACGAAAAGAAATGAAGCGAGTGAGCGAGAGAGAGAGTGAGTAGAAATATGAACTGAGAAAATCTAAGCAAACAAAAAATCGTACACAAAACGAAAAACACTCACGGAGCCCCGATCTACCGATATATTGATGTAAACACAGTGAACAATCAAAATGTAATGTTCACTTTAGTTTAAAACGATGCTAGAGTAGAATAAAGTGCTGCGCCAGTGCACGAACCTCGTTACTGTCTGAACATTGTCAAATATTAAATGCAAATGAAATGCTGGAACCCAACGTTTTACCTTTATATATTCCACCTTTCTTCGCCGGTTGTAAAGAGAAAAAGCACATGCGTTCGCGTCTAAACGTCAGCGTTTTTGTTTGTTCTGTGGGAGACGCAAGTCTCTGATTCTCTCTTGCTCTCGAAGTAAACACAGCACAGCGGAGCTCAACAGACTATAGATTTCATTGAGCCAAACGGCGAACACTTTAACAAACGTACCGAACATACTTGACGGAGAGACAGATGTGTATTTCTATTGGTGCTCACACTGCACTTTTCATATATCAATACACATTTCGATTCTATTTTCAGCCAATATCTATCGATCAAAGCTCGATCGCGTTAACACGTATGAATCATAGGGAGTTTTCCCAGTTGTTACTGCTTCGGCTTCACTTTTTACTTCGCTCGTTCTAAGTAAATTGTCATTAATTAGCTAATTATTATATCGTTCTAGTACGAATTTCATTCAGTAGACGGTTGTTTGTTCCGCTTCAAAACGATTACACGTTAACCTTTGGCCGCCGGACTTTTGTGCAAATATACAAATTATCCCATTTATAAAGGCGTTCCTTTTGACACGGGTTCAAAAACGATACAGCCACAAAATCCAGCCAAGATTCGATTCCAAATGGAAGAGAGAGAGAGAGAGAGAGAGAGAGAAGGAGAGAGGCGAGCATATCAATTACCACAAACATTATTCAACTAATTCTGCTTAATGTCTTTTCTATGGAAAATTATACGATTTGATCGATTTGCTGACTTATTTATCATGGCTCCGTAAGAAAATTACGTAAAATTACCAATTGGTATTTGATTGATCGCAATTCAATTCCCTCCTAGTTCTATCTCAATAAACGGGCAATTATTGATTTCGTAGCAACCACTCGGCTATATACTTAATTGCTGTCCATCACGAATTTTTAAGTAATTCCATCAAATTATAAACAAACTGTGTTTTCTACATCAATAATTCTAAACAGCCGCCAGCAATCACAGTCGATTTGATTCACAAGAACTTTTGAATAGATGCATGAATCAATCGTTTCCATCTTCTGCAATCACACCGAATCATTTTTCGTTCCGAATGACCTGCTTTAAAAACAAGTAGCTGCGGCAAGCGAATCGAAAAAGCTTGATTCTAGTTATTGAGAGAGGGCGCGATTTGAGCTTTTCATGCAGTTTCCCAGTCCATCTCCACTTATATGAGATGTGTGTGCTGTCAACATCGCTCATTTTAGTAAGAATTTTCATATAAAAAATACATTTTTTCGCATATTCGAGAATGTATTCCAATCTTTGTCGAAAATATTAGGAAATAAAGTTTTAAAAAATGATTAATTTTATGAAATAATAATCTTCGAAACTACATGAATCGAAACACAATTCATTGAAACGTTCCAAGTGGTTCCAAATAAAAACTCCGTACCGCAGAAATCATTTATGTTTCAATACAAGCGAAACATACAGACACATAGCCGTTGTGCGCTTGTACCGCTCTGTTCCGCATTCGTGTTTGTCTAGCGAAAATCCAGATGTAATCAAATTCGTTACAGCTCAAAAGAGCGTGAAGCGACTAGCGGGAAAAATGCAACTATTCGCTACTTCTATTTATATAATTCTGTGTCCAATGGGGGAGAAAAAAAACTCAGCACACGATGTAATTTTAACCAAATAATAACATTTTCACATCGAAGATAACCCCACCTACGCAACACATGAACCAGTACTGTTTCAGTTGGTTGTGAAGTAGGCGTCACAAAATGGAAAACACGCCTCTATCGAAATACACGAAAAACAATGTATTCGATGTTGTGGATTCATTGAATCGCAACAAGATGGATTTTGCTACAACGAAACGTAACACGCGAACACATAGCCAAGCAAAAGAAAAAGAAATATAAATAAACCGAAACGACGTAAAAAAAACCGTACAAAAACGGTTATGGAAATGTTCAAGTATCGTAAACATGGTATAAATTCTTTTGCAACCAACAGTTGTCATTGCATTGAATGGAAATATCACACGACGATCGATTTGGCTCTCATTTTATCCACTGCACATCGAACGATAAATGATGAATTGATTTTTAATCAATTTAGCGGAATGAGAAAATAAAATATTGACGAATGATCCTATTCTTCACATGGAAATGAATTACATATGCAACAATATAAACAAAATTGTCTTCATGTCATACCAGAGATGGAGTAAATGTATATCAATTCATTGTATTGTCCATACTGCGTACAGACCGGTATATACATTGATATACCTTCGCGTTGAATAACGCGTTCGCTGTCACTAAAGTATTACTCACACACAAGTACTTTTACAACATGTACGACTTGTATTGGTAAAATTTGACAGATCACCACTTTGTGACATACCGAATACATATAAAATCACTATGCTCACCAATAGTAATAGTGGTGATCTGTCAAATTATCAATACAAGTCGTGCATGTTGTGAAAGTACTTCTGAGTGAGTAGCTAACGCATGCTGACGCGTGCTCTCAACGCAAAGGTATACGTTTAAGTATATACCGATACACATTTCCATAAACTTGCGGTAAACGATGAACCATCTCTGTGTCATACACACATATTTTGTGTAAACTTTTTTGGTAAATTTGAATATACCCATCGGTATAACGATCAAAATTAAAGAACGACAGTTTGCACAAGTGGAAATAAGAATGTTAAATTTACTAAAGTTGCTTACATTACATATAGACGTAAAATCAAACGCCTAATTGGAAAATTTCATAAAACAATTTCGTTGAAAATAAATGCATAAAATAGCGTTGCCAATGAATACAAACGGCAAAATTATATGTACAGTATTTCGGTATATCCCGTGGTTGAGCTCAACAATTCACAATTGTTTCGAGTAATAAATTATTTTATTAAAAAATATGGAAATGTGTTGCTGCAATTGGTATGGAAGAAGAGAAAAAACAGCGAAAAATATGAACTGACTGTTATAAATTACGGAATATTCGGCTTAGCGAAAAACGAAAAACGCAAAGTCAAAATGCTCCGTCGCGTGAAATAAGTGCGATGACAGACACAAAGTCTGTTGCAAGTATAAATGAATTAATAAATATTCACAGTATCCGAAGTGAAGAGAATTCTTTCATTTCTGCATGTATGTGTATGCGATTACCAGTATCTATTTATCCATGTTCGTCTATTTATCCGCACAGCATATTTGTGGCGGGGAGAGAGAACGGGAGAAAGAGTGTGTGTGCTTATATAATGTGGCAAAGTGTGTAACGTTTATCGTCGTCCATTCCAATTCGTTTCCACACAAAATACACAGTTTACATTTTCGCACATCTCGTGCAGTATTTCGGTTATTGTACGCATTCTAGTATAGCGGGAATTGGTATGTATCCATCGTGTCGAGTCAGCCACAGATACACTTATAAAATGGTTTTTAGTACCACCCCTTAAATTATGTTAAACTGTATTTAAAATGGTATTTAAACCGAACGGTTGGTTCGTTGCGAGGCGAGCACTCTCGAGCCCGAACCCAAACGCCAAAGACACCTTTGAAACGACATACAATTTACTACGTGTACAGCACCAGCACAAACATGTTGCTGTGTACGGCTCGCTTCGTTCTGTATTGGAGAGAGTGAGAGAGAGAGGCAGCGCAACAGCAACTGAATCTATTATATCGTCGAAATAAATACAAATTATGTGTATTGTATGTGCACACGATGGGAACTGTAAAGTTCGGTCGGAAAAACGTTGCTCTGCAAACAGAGCGCAAAGACGACGACGACGATGATAAAGAGACAAAAGCAAATGACACACAGAGATGGATGAAAAAAATATCCACCCCTTAATGTAGTTAAGCAATGCGCTACATGAAATATGCCACACCATTATAGGTCAAAAATTGCTTGCGTTTACTGGCCCCAAATAGACAGATCTACAAATACCCATGAGCAAATATACACACACATATATACAGACTCACTTACATGAGCACGATACAGATGTAGCGATCTTGAGCCATAGCCAACACAAGATGTTGAAACAAAGCATGAATTGCTGTGGAAAAAAGCGAACGATATTTGCAAAAGCGTTTGTTTCTTTCAGAATACTGTTCTTCAGAGCACATTCAAAATGGAAACTGAAGCATTTTCGTTTAGCGATCAAATTGCGCGAATTGAAGTTGCGATTTCCTTCAGAATAAGCTTGAAAGTTCAACGATGCATAAATAAGAATGAGATCATGAACTTAAGAAGATTCGCCATAAAACAGTCTAATATCAATTCGAACTCAACGTTGCGAAGATCTTGAGTTGAGCAACGTTACATGCTAACGATTTTGAGTTTTATCAATCTTCTCTGTCACATTTTATGCCAAATAAATTGTGATCGTATTACGAATTTTCTTGTCGACGATAGCTTTCGACGATGCTTCTCTTTCGTTCGTTCGCACGTTAGCCACAAACACTCTCACTCGAGGAAACAAACACAAAGAGCCCAAAACACAAATCCACCAATTTCCCTTCGTCGAGAATCGTTTTTTGTGAGATATATACGCCACCGTGCTCTTTTGCTCGACTTCTCACTACCATTCGCTCAGCGTGGATGCGATTTGTATGCCATCGAATCGGAGATGGAAGTGGGCCTTTCGCATGTGTGCAATCTATATCCCTGCCTGCTTGCCTGCCTTGCCTTGCCTTGCCTTGCCTTGCCTGCCTGCCTGCCTGCTTCTGCACGTGTGCTTGCGCTTGTGTGTAGCACATCGAAATTACGCGCCGCATTTTCATGTGTAGTTGTGTGTGGCTGCTACCAATGTTATAACAGTTGAGAGCCAACGACGAGTGACGGCAATAATGTATATAATGTTGTATTCAATGCGATTCACATTTTGCCGTTCTTCTTGTTGTTGTTGTTGGTTTCTTCTTTCTCTCTTCTGCTTCGTGTTCTTTTTTGTTCTTTTTCCATCTCTATATTTTTCGTTTCATTTCATCGTCGTTGTGTGTTTTTCCTCTCATCGTCGTTGTGTCGATGTGGGCATACTTCCCAACCTGAAAGATTAACATTTTCAAATGGATTTGGTTGGTTGGATAAGAATTATTATTATTTTTTCGTTTCAGTTGCATTTGAATGTTTGACGTGTAACGTTGTGTGTCGTTCTCGTTGTATCTTGTAGCTTGATCGCATCGCACTTTTTGGAAATTGAAATCGTTATCCGAATTTCATTTGAAATATCCACACATCGATTTTGTGTATGTGTGTGATTCATTTTCGGCAAAAATTTTAACAAACTTTTTATCTCTTGCTTCGAAAGCATTTCAAAGGGGGAAAAAAGAAAAGGAAAAATACGACGAAAAACACGATATGATTTTATAAAAAACGTAAGCTTATTTGTGCTGAATTTTAAGTGTGGCCAATTGTTTAACGTCGAATACATTCTTCGTCTCTTTGTCGAGTTTCAATTTCTTCTCTTTTGTTGCTTTGCAAAGTGCCTTTTGATAACCATAAAAAAAGAGAGAGAAAGAAATAGACAATGTCAAAACTTTGAACTAAAACCGAACACAAAATAAATCGAAAGTTAATTAAAGTGAATTTCAGTGTTTCATTACGTGGCATAAACATGACCGACATTTTTCGATTTCTATGAAATTGTTCGGAAGAAGAAAATAAACAACAAAACGAAGCACAAAGAAATACCGTCGAATTTGCAAGAATTTCTCCGTATTTTTTTCTTCGTTCAATCAAATCGTGTTGGATTGATCGTCTCAGGACAAGATAATCATTTTCAGTTGGTTGTACAAAGTAATATGAGTCTACCTAGTGGTGTTGATATGACGAATCTCATGTCGCAACATCCAGTTTTGGGAGCTTTACCACCGGCATTCTTTTTGCGTGCTGCATCTGAACGCTATCAACGGACACCGAAATGTGCACGATGCCGAAATCATGGTGTTGTAAGTACTTTTACTTTTCGAATTCGGAATATTGAAAGAACAATCGATACAAACAGAAAATAGAATCTTCTGTTTAAAAAAAAACAGAAACAAAAGAAAATGAGTGTCGATTTGAAAATGACCAAGGAATTAGCCGTAATTGCATTCGTTTATTATTTTGTCGAGCTGAAAAACGAACAATTAATATCCATTGAATTCCGTTCCAATTAAAATGACTTAGGAAGACTTAACAATTTCAACTTTGTATTTTTACAAAATGAATGTGTACATGCCCGTACGGAACGGGTGTTTATTAATATCGTTTTGATTTTCCCAATGGCAAATGCAACATACACCACACGAACACTTATTATTTCATTACTCCTTTGCATTAAATTTTCAAGTGGCTTTCATTATTTGCAATTAAACGGGGAGAAAAACAGTATGTACTTTAGGTGCTTTATCTTCATTCGGCATGAGTATGTGTATTCATATGTGAGTGTTTTTCAACGGCATTGCCCCGTCTTTTTGTGTTTGTGTATGTGTGTATGAAGAGGAATAATTTCCACAATGTTTTCATCTTTCCCGATGCCGACTTTTGTTTTTATTTTCACTTTGCTCAACTAGAGAATCCCACACAATGTGGGTGTGTTTGGGCTGAAGAAGACGGTCTGTCACCCGTTTGACAGTGTATTTTCACTCTGTTCCGCTTTGTATTAGTTAAATTAAACACTCAACACAAACACACATACACAAAACAGTGCGACATTCAATTAACACTTTTGTTATTAATTTCATGAATGTTGCTCATTTCGGGGGCAAATGAAAAAAAAAACTTTTTCGTAAACAATCATAGCAGCGGTGTCATTTTACGCTCATGTTCAGATTGCACTGTTTTTCCCGTTAAAACAACATTTACATAATATGTAGTTGGGTTGATGTCGAGGGATATGTTATTTGTTCGCTCCTCATACCGCCATTTAATACGGCAATTTTCTATTTATTTTATTTTTTGCTTATCGTACACAATGAGAGAGAGAGAAATGAAAAAAAAAACAGTTTGGTTTAAACAGCTTATGTATTCATTATGGAATAACTTAATAGGTGAGCGCTTTGAAGGGTCACAAACGTTACTGTCGATGGCGCGATTGCGTTTGTGCCAAATGCACACTAATTGCCGAACGGCAACGTGTTATGGCTGCACAGGTGAGACCATAAATTTACAACAATTTCCATCCGTAAAATGCAGTGGACTCATTCAAGAGAAGAAGATGGAAAATAATGCCAATTGTGTGTTATTTGTTTTTTCCTAATTGAATGTTGATTATTAGGTGGCGTTGCGTCGGCAACAGGCACAAGAAGAGAATGAAGCACGCGAATTGGGATTATTGTACTCATCAGTGCCCGGTCAACCGCAACAACAGCAACCATCTAGAAAGCAACAATCAGAGAATAATATTCAGCCGCCAGGTAACTATCACACAGGACTATCGTCACCGCATAATGATCATGAGCTAGGTCAACGTGTTCATTTCAGTAGCAGCGAGTCAGGTGAGAGCAATGACATTATCTAAATGGTTGTACAATTGAAACACATTCGATTTTTAGTTGGAATTCATCGAAATATTTATTTCACAAAAGTTGAAAATCTTTTTCACTTTTCCTGAACTGATTTGTATTTTCAACTCAACTCATTGTTTGTTTTTCATCAAATAAGGCAGTCGCATTATTCCCAACTGAATCACATTAACAACTTATCAAATTTAATCGCATAATGCAATTTTCTTTTTCTGTTTGCCAACAGACGTTGAGTCTCACCACCAGAGGATTCGATCAGATCGCGGCGGTGCCACCTATTCACCCGAACGTATCGACAATGAAAGTCCCGGTAAGTCAAATTATAATTGCGATATTAGAATGGTTTGCATGCAATGACGTGAACATTATTCGAATAAATGCAAAGGAAAGAAAAATACGGTTCAATGTATTTTCGATGAAATTTCTTCGATTTTGCCAAATTTGTTTATCGGCATTATTCGTATTTATTCATGCTGTTCACATCTTATTGATGTAATCGATTGAGATGTTTGTAAACAGTGAGTTTTGTATCTGAAGCTTTGTTATTTTATTCAATTTCAAAATGAATCCAAATTTCAATCGCAAAATCTCAAAAATGTATGGATTTAGACAACATATATCAAATCTTATTTACTCAATAGCCTTTCGATTCTAAGCCAATAGTATGATAATTCAAGGAGCAAACAATGGGAAAAATATAATAAATGAACATTCGTTTGACTTTGGATTGTCGCAAATGTTTTTTTTTCTTCTTTTCAATCGATATAAATATTCAATAATTTTATGAACTAGAGCGTAGTTTGCATTCAACAATGTCTCGAGTATGACATCGAGTTAAGTTACATTTTATCGTTTGAATTGATAAAACGGCGATATTTGCATTTCGAATTGCTTTCGTTTGCTAAATAACAATAATAATGTAATGTGTATAAACAGTGTAACAATGTGGGTTCAAGGCTTTTGATAAATAACAATTGAAACAAAACAAAATCAAATTGAAAAAAATGATTGATAGGTTATTTCAGTGTCTTATACACCTTGATCAGAACTGCATATACATAACCACCACAGCCGACGGCATTTTGGCTTGACCAAGTTTATTCGAAAGTTCAGCAATAACTTTTTGAAAATTAATTAAAATAACCAAAAAAGTAAATCACAAAGTGAGTTGTCCATTCGAAGTTTTATTCATAAAGGAATCCAAAACAGGGCTTTAAAATAAGTGCGGCACAAAGTTACCAAAGCGATCAAAATGAGTAAATGAGAAGCAATAGCAAGAGCAATGGTCAAATTCGAGTTTATTTTTTTTTATCCACAATAATAAAATAATTTAAACTTTGTCCAAGTGACTCTTGGTTAATGTTTTGGGCACTTTTCTCCTTGTTTTTCGCTATTGTGTATGGCAATATATATTTTTTTTCTTGTTTCTCCATCCAAGAGTCCATTTTTCTGCATTATTTATTTTCGACAAAACCGACTAAAGTGGATGAACAAAAATAGCAACGGTTCTGATCACGGCCATTTAGTTTGCAGTAGAGAGTGAGAACGATTGAGTGATGGCTACAGAAATACACTTACATGCAAAATCCAAACAAAAAAGACGCATCCAAACCGTTGCGAGCGAGCGGGCGGGCGAGAGAGCGAGAACGATTGAAAAAAAAAGTGAATTTAATTGTGTATAATGTGTTTTAAACCAACTAAAAATCAAACGAAAATAAAGGAAACAACCATTTTATATAGAGAGTGATTACATGGATGAATAAGTATGGCGCGCATACACAGCCCCACATAGCTCCCTTCACAATTGTACACTTACTTATGTGCAGATTTTTCACTGTGCTGCGTGAAAGCAAACACATTTTCATATCGGATGAAAAAAAAAAGAAAAAATGTGCAATACATCAAGCCAACGATGAATTTACTGTGTACACAATCATCCGTTCATTCTGTATTTGAGAGAGAGAAAGAGAGACCATTTCAAAAAGAGAGTATAATAAAAAAAATTGTTATGTTTTTAAATGCAAACAACTCAACAGTGGAAAAAAAAATCAAAATAAAAGTATATTTTCAACCGGACTTTTTAAATATACATTTCTTACCGTTTTTTCGACGGGGGCAAAACACGAATTCATTCGGCATGCACTGGCTGCAATGACCATTGGCCAAAAAGAATAGGGTCGAAATTGAATGAATAGCGAAAAAATTATGTTTATGAAAATTCACTATTTAAATGGTTGAAAGCGTCCACTTGAGAGTGAGCTCAATATCGGGATAATGGCCACGAGAGTGCAATGAGCGCACGTGAGCGAAAAGGATGCAGCGATAGAGATAGAGAGAGAGAGGCCGACTGAGCACCAACCGTTGAAAAAGAAACGAGAGAGAAAGAGAGGAAAAAGGACATTAAAAAAAAAATAAAACAAATTGACCACATTGAACGGTTGAACTTTTTTTTCGTTTCATAGAATTTTCGGCGATTTCCATTGGTTTCGATATGTATACAAAAAGCATTTATTTTAAACGTTTGCCAAAATGGAATTTTTGTGTTTCCTAAAAATTGCCTCTCTTCGCAATTATTATACTTTTTTTCCATTCCATTCATTTTATTATAATAATAATACATATTTATATTTAAACTCGGTTGCGCGTTGATGCAATTAAACGTTTTCCCTTCCGTTTCTCTTTCTCCCAATTGGTTTTTCCACCGCATTTTTTGGCGAATAAAAATTCGATGTGTTGTTATGCAGTGATACAATGAAATTGGTTAAATCGCGCTAATTATAATCGTTTATTTAATTAATTGGCCAATGTAATAAACTGATAATGATGATGGCAAGAAATGCAGGGGAGTGAGTCTCGAACCGATCCGGCGAATGAGTTATATGAAAAATTCATAAAAAGTTTCAGTTATAAATGTGATTTTTTTCCAACAAGATATTTAAAAAATTTCTGTGCCAGCAGAACAACCCCAATCATCATAGCATGATGCCCAGCATCTCATTTATTTGTTGTTTTAATTGTTCCACTCGTTTTTTTTTCGTATGCGTGTTTGCTCGTTCTACTCATAAATGCACGCGCGATAATTATCTGGATTGCTTTTGGTTTTTTTTTCTGTTGTGTGTGTTTGTATGTGCGTGGCGTGTGCATTAATGCCAATAAATCATGGTCGATGTTGCTATTGGGGCGGATAAGTATATTATTCACACGATTCACTTTGATACAGCATCAAAAAGAGCACCATCATGTCCTGAAGAGGAATAGAAAAATGAAAAAGAAAAAAAAAATCATAAAAACGAAGAATTCTTTTCCCCCTATTACCATTTCATGTACGAGTGTCGAACACAATGAATGTTATTTGGTTTGGCCAGCGAAAAGTGAATTCATCTTGAACATTGCATTGCATTTTATTACAAGGATGCAATTCGTTACCACTTATTTTTACCTTCCTGTGTAGCCACCACTCGCCAATCCGCTTTTTAGTTTTTAGCACAACATGGAATGTAGGCTACTGTAGTTGTTATTTTTTTCCCCGAGAAAATTTTTAGACTTTTTAGGACCGTAAACCAATTCATTTTAATATCCATATTTTTTATTTGAAATGAAGCAATTACGCCTAATTGCAAAAATGAAATAGAATCATGTTTTTGACTTTTGAGATGACTCAAAAAAAAAATTTGACACTTTTTTCGTTGCCAATGTGAAATAATGTACGATGATCATTCACATTGAATATACATAAAACACATAAGTGAAGAATACAATATCATCATATAAATTTATTTAATTATTTTTAACAATATTAAAATGATTTGTATACAAAAAGTATACTGCGATTAAAGCTACATTCCATGTAGTGCTTACGATAATAATTTGATGAGAAACATCAAATTAATTAAACCCGTTAAAATTACAAGCTTCAAGAACGCAGAGCGGAGCGAAGCGACGATTTCCGGTCTTGTTTACTTCTCTCTCTCCCTCTCTTTTCTCTCTCTCTCTCTCTCTCTCTCTCTCTCTCTCTCTCTCTCTCTCT